TTAGTTACGAAATGATCGGCGCTATAAGAATATATTATGAAACTTCGAACAATTGTTTTGATAATTTTCAACGTAGGTCCTTTCTTTAAGTACAGTAAACTATAATATACCAAGTATAATAAGAAAAAAATTGAATTTGAACTTTAGTGTTATTAAATGTCCGTTCTCATTTAAGAACATTGCTCTGACCTATGTTTCACAGCATCAAAAGAAACTGATATTGGACGTTGAAAGCAGAGTTCGAAGTGACAATTATCATGACAATTATCACGATAATTGTCTTGATAAATATACTTTGATGATATTTACAAAATTATTGGAACAATACAATGCTACGGCTAGCAATGTCGTGCGTACGTCAAATATCCATTTCTTGTTACAAACCAAATCGTTTTCCCAAAGTTTTTCTTCTTGTTTGTTAAGTTTTCGCCCTGCATGTCAATTTCAAAATTGGCTGATAGTTGATTACTATGATGCGTAGATAATTATCGGATTATAATTATCAAAGAAAATAAGTATCTTGATAATTTCGAACCCTGGTTGAAAATGATCGATTTGAGTTGACACCAGCCCCTTGCACCAAGTACCAAGTAAGTAGTACTTTAATTTGTATAAATACTTTTATGTTTTCGTATTTTGCTTGAACGTTGGTTTGTTTGAGCGGGCTGGTGTCAACTCAAATCGATCATTTTCAACCAGGGTTCGAAATTATCAGATAATTATCAAAGAAAATAAGTATCTTGATAATTTCGAAGCTTGGTTGAAAATGATCGATTTGAGTTGACACCAGCCCGTTGCATCAATTACCAAGTAAGTAGTAATTTAATTTGTATAAATACTTTTTATGTTTTCGTGTTTGACTTGAACTTGACTTAGCCCTTGATGTTATGTCGTAATAGAAACAAAATATTATATAACTTTTGCATACAGTTATTGAATATTTATTTTACAAATTGAACAAATTTGTTTATATTTACGCGTCGAACTTTGCCTTGACTCCATCTACTTGCAAAACAACGTATTTATATATACTGATATACGATGATATTATATATAGGATATTACATACTGACCTCATTAATAAAAAAAAATCTAATAAATGTAACTAGAAAAAAATACCATGTGTTATATATAGATCGTTAGAATCTGCATGAAATGCACTAGTTTTTCTGCCATAACCTTTCCATACTTTTTATTTGGTGAGATTCCCTTGAAAACAAAGTTTCGTTTTTTGTGAACAGAAAATCGTTCACTAAAGGGCTATTTGCAATTGACATAACAAAAACTCACTTCAAAAGTCCTTGTGGATATTTGTTGGGATTTTTTTAAAACGGAAATACTCAACCCTGCCTACTAATTACGTTTTGACCATCACTTCCTGGCCACCCTGTATATACATATACATACATATAAATAAATATCCTAATTTGCGGCTTCCATTTTTTTATGGTTTAAGACATTTGTTTCTCAAAGCAAAATACAAACATTCACTTACAATGAAGAAACGATATAATAGTAATATATCATTTATTGTATCGAAACAAGTATAAAATATAAGTAAATGATCGAACATACAACTTAGATATGAGGGACAGGAACCCAAACCAAACAATCCTGGTTTCCCTTTTATGGCACTCTGGGCATTTAAAACCTCACAATGGCGTGAAAACCTTATATTTATGTTTACTATAGTGGTATTACATTTTCCATTTTAATTTAGACTCCAAAACACCATACGACACATACATAGCTACAATGTATAATAACATTCTAGCAAGAAAACGTGTGAGTTCCCAAATAACTCTTAAGTCCATAATTCTTAATAATTGCACTGCAAGTGCCATTGACTGCGGTCAAGGTTATTTTTTGTTTGTTTTCGCGCTATCCTTGAATTTTAATTTTTTTTTTTTAGTCTACATTAGCTTCATATAGCTTATATTTGTTGTGTAGTCTTTTAGTACCTACTGAAAGTAACTATGACGCGCAATTGTTATGGTGTCGCTAACATTCATTATTATTAGTAAACAGTGAGTAAGTGTTACCTTGGCGTGTTGAATGCTACATTTAAACGTTTTCCACTCCATGTGTAATTTCCAGAAATAATCTGAATAAAAACGACCCTATTTCTTATCTAAAAAAGAATGTTTCAATCAGGTAATGAAACTAGTATTTCGGATCAAAATTGCGTTTATTTGTTTTTTCAAACAAACCAACGTTTCGGGCCCTTTACAGATCCCATGGTCACGGCTGGCAGTCAGTCGTGACTTGTAAAGGGCCCGAAACATTGGTATGTTTGAAAAAACAAATATAAAGCGATTTTGGTCCGAAAAACTAGTTTCATTTCCTGTGTACATAACTTTCGCGAAAACTTAAGAATTCGATAAGAATATTTAAGTATTATTTTAGTAGAGCATTTATATTGTAGTAGCAGTAGAGCTCCTTGTGAAAGAGTTCGTCCAGGTTAGTACCGTCACTTGTTATTATAAAAAAAAATCTTTCAGTTAACAATAATAATCTTTATTTCTCCCCTGACAAAGTATTCTTATAAATAAGTAATTAATATTATGGACTTATCATTAATACGTCTTTGTAAAAGACTAGAGTTCATACTAGGATTGGACCTGTGTTACGGATTTCCAGGCACTCACCAACCGGACTTTGCACTGTATTATACATAATATGAAAGCGTTACCGTGTTCTAAATTACAGAGAGCGGTTTAAATCATGAAATAATTATTAAAAAGGTATTATGCTAATTCCATATCAAAGAATTATACATATGTATTTTAATTACCTACAGTGACTTTTTCACATTTAAATTTATTCATTAATACAAATCCTACTTTATACTGACACCGCAATAACACTGTGTGATATGTACCATTGTTAAAACAAATGTTTTAAGAAACTCACACGCCGTGACTAATTTTTTGGAAGATTACCAACTATAATATTAGGACTGTTCCACACGAACATGCTTAATATATATATTGCTTTTAACGCCTCGTAAACAGCATCCTTGTTAAACTTTAAAAAGCGGTTACGTGAATGTCCTTATTTATTTCATACAATTATACAGCATCGCTTTAATATATCAAACCACTGCGAATTCTTATACATTTAACAATAAACAAAAGACAGACGCTCAACTAACCTCTCACAAAACCTCAAATATTCATCACATGCAGTCACCTTATCTAGTCGCAAAAATATCCCAAGTGCAGATACGAGAATTGCATTAAGATACCGCAGAGCGCGAACAAGCGAGGATTTACTATGAGTCATAGTGCTTGCTTATTCATTACGGTACATTAAATTTCTCGCAAATGCTGTTAAGTCAGGCATGTTTTTGTACATACACACATATACATACATACATATACTTCACGCCTTTTTCCCATCGGGGTAGGCAGAGACAACAGTCTTCCACTTGCTACGGTCCTGACACACATCTTTCGCCTCATCAACCCGCATCAGTGCTTTCATACACGCTCGTCTGTTAAGGGTACTCTTGACCTGGCCCTTCTTTAGGATGGCCTCAATTTGGTCATGATAAGTTCTCCTTGGTCGGCCCATACCAACTTGCCCGCTCACACTCGCCTTATAAATCTGTTTCGTCACTCTTCTTTCATTCATTCTCTCTACATGTCCGAACCATCTAAGCATCCCTTTCTCTATCTTTGTCACTATATCTTCTTCCACGCCGCAACGCTCTCTTATCTCACTGTTACGTAATTTATCCATCCGAGTCACTCCAGCCATACTCCTCAAAGCTCTCATTTCTACTGCATTAATTCTACTTTCATGCTTCTTCTGCCAAACCCAACATTCACTATCATACATAAGTGTAGGAACCAGCACCCCTCCATGCACAGCCAATCGTGCCTTTCTGGCTGCCCATGAAGGTATGCAAGGCACCATTCACCTGATTCCCTGCGTTCACTCTTATTTCAATGTCTCTTTCACATTTTCCATCACACGTAAACATAGAACCCAAATACACAAACTCTTTCACTTGATCCACTTTCTCTCCTTCAATCAATATCGTGCAAATCGTCATATCTTCCTCTCTTTCAAAAACCATTACCTTTGTCTTTCCCACATTAATTTTCATTCCTCTCCTTTTAAGAGCACCATGCATAATATTTACCATCTCCTGCAACTCCTCCACTGACGACGCTAGTACCACCTGGTCATCGGCGTATAGGAGGCACTTAATGAGTAAACCATTCATTCTCAGCCCATACATACTCTCTTTCAAATCTTTCAAACAATTGTCCATAATTAGGTTGAACAGCCATGGCGACGCTACACATCCCTGTCTAACACCTTTCCCGATATCGAACCAGTCAGTGTAAGCACCATTTATTCTGACACAGGCACTGGAATACTCATAGAGAGATTTCAGTGCCTGAACTAGACTATACATAGGCAAAGTCGACCACAATTCTTTCCTTGACACTCTGTCGTATGCCTTCTCCAAGTCTATAAAAGCGCAATAGACTTTTTGTCTTTTAGCCAAGAACTTTTCGGTTATGTTTCGCAAGGAGAAGACCTGATCCATGCATCCCATTCCTCTTCTAAATCCCGCTTGCATGTCCCAAATTTTTTCTTCCGTTTCTTTCATCACTCTCTTAATCAATACCTTTGCATATAATTTGCCAACAATGCTAAGAAGACTGATTCCGCGGTAATTTTTGCAGTCTGGCTGCGACCCTTTTCCCTTATATAATGGTATGATGACAGCCTTGCCCCAGTCTCCTGGCACTCGGCCGCTTGACCAACAAAGGTTGAAAAGGCGGTACAGCTGACTAGCGATCACACCCTGTCCAGCCCTCAGCATTTCAACAGTAATTCTGTCATATTCCGCAGCTTTACCAGATTTCATAGTATTCAATGCCTTTATAATCTCTTCCACGCTTATACTTTAATTTTGACTTCCGCTTGTCTCTATGGTGATCTGAGCCTGCATTTGTACATCTTCCTTTTCAAACAAACTTTCAATACTCCTTCCATCTCTTTAATACGCATTCTTCTCCTTTCACTATACTGCCATCGTGGCCTCTGATTTTTTGCAGTTGCGAGGTTGTGGTTTTGCCTCTAGCTGTTCTTAAGGACTTCCAAAACCACTTAATGTTGCTTTGAAAGTCATCAGATAATCTCCTGTCAAACTCGTCTTTCTGGCACTCTTTCTTCCTTCCCACAACATCTTTCGCTATATCTTTTATTCTTTTATACTCTTTCCTTGCTACGTTTATATCCTCTTTCGTTGCCTTTTGTATTCTTTCATTAGCTTTCATAGATAACCAATCTAACCACGCTTTCTTCTTATCAGACAGAACATTTCGGACATCTTCATCCAAACAAACATTCCTCGTCTTCAGCCCTTTTTTCCTTTTGGATACTTCACACATATCAGTAGCGACCTCTACCATTCCTTCCTTAAATAGCTTCCATAAATCTTCAATCCTACATACTTCGTCTAGTCCATCAAACCTTTCAATCAGTTTACTCACATATTCATTTTTCACATCTGTCTTCTGCAAATTCTCAACTTTTATTCGTTCTAGCACACTAACAGGTTTCTTCACTCGATACCGCCACCTTGTAAAAAGACCACCTATTCGGCTAACCACCAGAAAGTGGTCGGTGTCGATACCAACTCCGCAGTATGCTCTCGTGTCAAGCACCTTTTTTCCTAATCTTTCATCCACTATTACAAAATCTATCATACTCCTTAAACTTCCTTCTGCTCTTGTATACATGTGGATCTTTTTGTGTTGAAACATGGTGTTTGTCACTAAAAGATTCCACTCCAAACATACTTCGAGCAGACACTTTCCATTATCGTTCACTCTTTCATCTCCAAACGTTCCAAGCACATTTTCATATCCATCACGCTTCACTCCTACCCATCCATTGAAATCTCCTAACATGATAATCCTTTCATTTTGTTGACTTTTATTCAAAACCTCTCTTACACTGTCCCAAAATTCCTCTCTTTCTATTTGGGCTTTGGTGATCTGCTTTGAACCCGTATCTGTCGGAGCATAAACCCCTAAAATAAAGATGCGAGTCAGGTCAACTTTCAACCTCACCCATAGGAGTCTAGGGCTTACACACTCAAACTCAACTCAACTCAACACAAAATGAACACATTCATTCATTCTAGAAGAAAAAAATACGCCATCACCTTTGCACCCTCTGCTGGTTTCGGGCACTCGTGACCAGTACGCTGTGTATGATCCATGCGTCGTCGTATCGCATCCTTTTCTCTTCGTCTCATTCACACAAAGAACATCAATTCTTCTTTCATTCATCATCTTACATACTTCTTCTATTTTATCATTCATCCCTCCTCTAACATTCAAAGTAGCAAAGTGGCTTTCTGCTGTCCACTTTCCGCCCCCGCGGAAACCGAGACGTGACGGGTGGCGAACCACATCGCCGCCATTTTGGTTGCTATTTAACAAATTAACCATTGCAGTCCCACGAGAAGCTGGGGAAAAATATACATATGTCCATCCTGGCAGTGCTCCGCTTGCCAGGGTAAAGCTAACCTATTTCTGGGTTCGCTCGGTCCCAGGGTTTGTGGCACGCTTTCGACTAGGCATGCCCCTAGCCACGCATCCATAGGCACGGCAACCGTAGATTGGCGGAGAGGAAGGAAATAAAAAGGATTGATAAAAGGATGTGGTCAGGGGGGAAGGAGAAAATGTATATTGGGAGAGGAAATTTAGGTATAGGATACTACTGTCTCGGAAGGAAAATAGGAGATTAGAGACGGTAGTAGCTCGGGGAGCCGGGGTCACATACCCGCGTACTTGTTATGGAATTACAAGTACCCCTGACTGGAGTACCCCTGACTGCTAAACTATATGACAAACACTGAAATAAAATCTAGAAATTATTTATATAATTTGCTCTACTGGCACACTGGACACTCCATACAACGGTCAAAAGTTACTACTACTACTACTACATACAGCAAAGCGCTATCTGCACACGCGCAAATGTGTGCATGAAGTGGCAGTGCAGTAACCACCCATGTCTTTCTCGTACGTGGTCAGAGAGGCAACATAGCGAAAATTCTAACGCGAATCTGTTGAAAATGTGAAATCGTCTGTTTGAAGGTAAAACTCAGTTAAAAGCCTAAATCGACTAATGGATGTAATTAACATTGTGTTTTACCTGCAAAGCGATTATAATGTTATTTATTGTACTACAAACTTATCGAAATACAGTTTTATAATGAAGGACCCTAATGACTCTATGCACTTATTAAATTTTTATCATCTTAGATGTTCTTCCCAATGAAACTAAATAGAAAAACATTTCCTTTTCCATTTACCATCGTGATATTCACATATGGCACTGAAAGGCGAAAAAATCCAGTAAAAAAAATCTATAACAAGACAAAGAAAAATTTATTTAACCTGCTAACTTGATCTATAGTCGGTTGGTAAGATCAGCGCTACGACCCTGATCATAGGTTCAAGTCGTATCGGGTCGAAGAAATTTTTCTTTGTGTTAATAATACGTATATTTGTTTTTCAAATAAACCAACATTTCGGGCTTTTTAAGGCTTACGTCACGGCTAATTGCTTTTGGCTGGTTTTTTAATTCATTAATGGATTTTTATTTACACCTTTCTATAGTTTCAATAGATACTTCCTACGAACATCGAATATAAATATTGGTGTATTGACCTAATTGAAAAATTGTATCTTACCTCATTTACATAGCGTTACAATAACACCTTTTAGGAACACCTTGTACGTCTCGCTTATTTGCAAAGCCAATCAACATAACTTTGTTTATCATACTTAGCCTTATATTAGAATGTTGCGTAAATCACTGATTCCCAGTACATAACTAAGCTATGTAACCTACATCGTTGCTCTTAACACCAATAAATGGGTTAATGTATTTTCGTAATGCTCAATTAAGGCTCAATTTACATTGCGTAACGGAAAAAAAGCGAATGTTTGTAACCATAGCATAATGGGCTTTATGTCGATTGTGTAAGGTACAAACAAACAACAATGTGTCAAACAACCTCCCAAATTAGGGAATTCCCTGTACTACGCGTACCAGAGCAACGGATTTCACTCTGGTGCGCTTCCCAGAGCACCCAGACCAGAATAAATTTAGAAAATCTGGCACAGTATGCTTGAAGGCACTGGTTCGAACCCAGCCGGATCACAGGAATTTTTCTTTGTGTAACGCACGCACACACTCAACAGTGTCGGATCTTTGTATTAATAATCATGAAATTCAATGAACTTAATAATTACAGTTTAGAAAAGTTCATTTACCAATCTGGTCCTGCCGATACTCGAACTGGGGACCTCCTCCGTCAGCGCCCACAGTATAAACCGTTGGGCTACCGAGGGCGTCATGTACACACGCCAGCACATCAAGCTACAAATTGACATATCTTGTGCCGTTGCACTGTGTAGTGAACAGAAATGTGTAGTCTGATGTGCCGTTGTCCGTACAAACTACATACGAGCCTAAAAACAGGTCGCGTGTCTTCCAGAGAATTCTCGCGAATTCTCGGGAAATCCCACAGCTACTGAATCGTATCTAGTTTGCACATTACACAATTGAAATAAAGTTCATTATGCTATGTGATATTTCGATTTGCGGCAATATAAATTACATAGTAAAATTACATATAGATATTGTGTATATTTTATTATCCATTAGTGTCACACAAGTTACTAGATATCTTATCAGAGAAATTCGGTTACTCATTGAGTGAACTTTAAATGGCATTTTATTAAAGCGGATGTCAGATTGGTATATCATGCGAGATAAAGTAAATATGGATAACCTAAAATAAATAATTATAAAAAACCAACCTCAAAAGTTTGCTTATTCGCATTCGCACCATTGCCGTTGCCGCGGTCTCCTCAACGATAATGAAACTCCTCGTCAAAACGAATCATATGAGCCCAAACACAAGGTAGCTGTACACTGTTGCAGAGTGATTTGATGATGGAAATGGCAGACACATGAGAGGTCATCTGTCTGCCATTTCCGTCTTGAAGTCACCGTAAGGTCATCATAATTTTTTTTTATTGGAATTACATCTATGTGCTCAGTTTGTTTGAAGTTGGTTAACGGAAAGTAAGCGAAATTAAACCGTACTCATCCCCCAATTCGTCGCTCTTAAATTTGGAATATTTTTTCATGATTTCATGATCAATATTGAAGTATTTTTTCCATTTGTAAAAAAAAATAATCGTCGAAATCGGTTCACAAATGTCGAAGTAATCACCTAACACATACACACAAAAACAAATACAGTCGGATTGAGGACAGGCTCAGTTTTTTTAAAACTTTCGCCGTAAGTCACCAATTCTTTGACTGTAAACCGTGTCTATCTGATGTATAGGGGCAATTTACTTGCCGCGGAACGGAATGGAAGCCACGTATTGTAAAGAAATTATACATAGCATAATTAGTTTTAAACCAGTTGTTATAACGCATAAACTAGATACGATAGTGCAACTGCAGAAATTCGAAACACTACGCGACAATTCTCCGCCTACGCGTCTTAACGCGCGACCTATTTTTCGGCTTATACAGACTGTATATTTGAAAGTGAGACATATTCATACATGCCATAGTAAATCGTGTTACAACTTAATATAGCCTAAAATAAAATTAGGATATGGGATAGAACAAAAAATAAATCAATAAATTTGTTTTGGAGTGTACATAGGAATAAACCGATTCTCTTTACACTTGATTTCGAGTGCAATGGGAATACTACCAAGCGAGCGCCGAGTAAAACAGCAACAATAACAATGATTTCACATCTCCCTTCCTACTAAAAGCACCTCTTTTCTCTAGAAAATAAAAAGTAAGTTACTCACCTACGCATATTTATGTTTTGATGAAAAATGCTGTTATCGAAAGGATTACGTTTTAGCTTATGCTAGTTATTTTTACTTCTGAACTATCGTCGAAATGTTTTACGTACTAAAAAATATAAGTTTATGCTTTAGTAACTAATTATTATTTAATAAGAATTTTTTTATAAGGATTTTGGCGTTGTTAACAATGTGAAATCAAATTATTTACAATTATTGATTTTTTAGATCTTTATAGTTTATTTACACTTACGTGATACGGAGCAAGTGTTCAAAATGTTCACCGTTTTCCACAATGCATAGTCTAGCACGTCGTAGTAAATTTTGTTTTAAATTGTTCAACACAAACACATTTTGTCTCACAGTATAAAATGCTGAGATAATCCTCTCATGCAAGACTTCGACACTGTTCACCTCCTCCGCGTAAAACTCCGATTTGGAAACATTTCAATAGCTCGTCTCACACTATCACCACTTATTGCGTAAAGTCGCACCATATCAGTCAATTCGACGTTAGAATAAATATCTATTTTGCGCGAGTGAGCGGAAGTACAAATAATTTATATATTTTCGCTAGACCAAGGTCGCGCGTGCGCTGTCTCTATGCGCCCGCGCCCTCACCCCCGACCTGTGCTTTGATTTTCGCCGCCGTGCCGCAGTTCGCCGTTGCGTGGGAGCAATAATAGTGATGTGCATAGATTTCGATAACTAATGTTGTTCACAAGTAGTAGTCGATAAAAAAATGAAATTTTTTTTGTAAAGTTTAAGTTCATTAGTTTATTATTTCTTTGGGTTCAGAATCAGGAATATAACGCACTCTATAAGTATGCCCCACTTTCAAATATACAGCCTGTATATTGTAAATTGTGGAACTTATGTTCAGTGATAATCATTTAGGTAGGGTGAAGAATCCTCAAATTTAAAATTTAATTTCAACTACGCTGCTTGCGATATCAACACGGTCTACAGTCCAAAGTGTCAAGTCCGATGATCTTGACTGTGCAAGGGTATCAAGTAATTTGTTAGTGACTGGAGGAATATCTCTCCTAATAAAACGTAACTAACTAAAGTCACTTTTATTTTCATTTTAAAAACGATTTTTTTTATTTACTTATTATTTTATGTGTGGCTGTCGCCCACATATAAGATAAAGAGTACCGTCTAGAAGTGTTAAATTCTCAAAAACAGAACAGAAAAATATCTCCGATTAAATGTTTCGCGCGTGATTCTGGTTGACACTTAATTTATTGTTATAGTCAATGCCAAAGCATATCTGAATGTAAGATTGAATGAGTTGTAAATAGAACCATTTGTGACTATTATAAAGTTAACTACACATAGTTTAAAAACGATACGTGTACATAAGTCATGTACTCGTATAACTTTGTTATTTATTTTCTATGATCCAAAGTGACGAGACAAACAAGTCGTGCGCCTGGTGGTAAGCGACACGCCTGTCTGCAGTGTCACTCCGAGATTTAAATTGCAAAAGACCTGAACTAATGTGCTTGTAGTTTTATTGGCACCTTTACTCTTCAAAATCGGAACTAGGTAATTTTCAGGTTAGTTTTCTCTACCTAATTTCGGTGGCAATTTTTATTATTTTAATATTTTAAAATATTGTACTTCATGAGTATTATTTAATATTCGAGTGTACTATCCTGAAATATTATTTAGTATTTCATGATAATATACTTACAGATAAATAACACATATAAAACTGCCACCCACGTTAGGTAGTGATAATCTTAGTACAGAGTACTAAAAAACCGACCTCAAAAATTCGTGGAATCACATCTATTTGCCAGGTTTAATTGAAATCGGTTACCGGATAGTGCGCAAAACCGAATTCATCCCCTAATTTGCCACCCTTAGAGGCCACATTTTCTTCAAATTTAAACGGAGCCTTTATTGAGGTACCCTCTTTCCAACAAAAAAAAGAATCATCAGTATCAGTTTACAAACGTCGCTTCACATAAGAGTTATCGCATTTAACATAATTAACATACATACAAAAAAAATACAGTCGAATTGAGAACCTCCTCCTTTTTTGAAGTTGGTTAAAAACCGGTCGGAATCATAAAAACCTGAAAATTACCCAACTCAGTAATGCTCACATTACTGCTTGGCGTCCGAAATAGCAATACTTCCCTGGACAAACACTTTCGCAAGGAGCTCTACTGCTAATAAATACTGACTTTATTGTGTACAAAATTTCTTTTCTTTTGTTTCAGATAAAACACACGACTTGACTCGGCACAAAACGATAATAAAGAAATCTAGTCATTTTATTAGAATTATTTTTTTATTAAAAATGAAATAAACAATTTACTTATTCAAGAGGTGCTAAATAGTAACATAAAGAGTAAGCGAAGTACTTAGGTTGTTTTTAAGTGTTTAAGTGTAACTTAAGGGAAAATGCAGATTCTTAAGGCGAGATTTGCTGTGCGGGCGAGTGCTTCACAGTTTCAGGCATGGAGTTCTGCAAAACATCGAAGTGCTGCTACTGTAAGTACCGACTTAGGAACATCCATTTTTCAACAATTTTATTGTTACGCTTTTTAAAAATCACATGTCATATATTACGAATTTATTTATTTTATCTATTTTAATTAATAATTCATGCTACCTCTGTGGTCAAACGGTTACCACGCTAGTCTGCCACGCAGAGGTCCCAGAGTCGATTGCCTTCCACACACTCATAGGTCCGCACAGGGAAACCCTGTGTCGCAGGTGCCATGGACACACAGATAGACAACAACAAATTACACTCAAACTCACGAGAGAAATAAATGCAGGCCATACAAATATATTTCCCGGCCTGGGAATCGAACCCGGGACCTCTCCGTGGCAGACCAGTTGGGTAATCGTTCGGCCACATCGGGCAGTTAAGGTAAGTTAATAAAAGGAAAACTTGCGAAAACTTTTCGATTTTCAATCATAACATTAATGACTTTTTTACCACAAGTATTTAGATTATTGAAATTTTAAATTAGCTGAATAATTTGGCACGCAAAATCAAAATTCATACAAAATTCGAGTTAGCATAGTGTTGTCAAAAATTTGTCATAGACTGAAGAAGTTTTCTCAGCGTGGACACTACAGTCATTGACCTACAACCATGGATATAGAAAAAAAGGGCCTACACCTGACCACATTACAATTATTTTATTAATATCCCTCGGTAACCTTCAGATTTCCGTATGCTACCGAACACAAATTTCCATATCTAGTAATAATTACATTTTATCACCTAATGATTCAGAAGTATGTACTTTATTATTGTTTTCATTTCTATGTGAACTATGTACAAAGTATATTCTTTCTTTATAATAACATTTACTTCTTAACAATATACCATGTACATATATTAACAAAAAATATGCCCAAAATAAAAAGTTGTAGCTAAACTGTACAGTGTGTTTTTTATTTAACTTGGACAGTATATGGAAATCTGAAACTATAGGGAACTTGTGTTAGGAACCATTAAGTCTTTTTTGTGAAAACAATTTTGACGTAGTCAATGTTTTTCTCATGCGTAAGTTGTCTATAAAAAGGAATAAAATATTTTTTTTTTAATACTAGATCATTTCATTGGAAAAAAAATCTGGACTTCTACTAAGTTGGTCAAATTTAATTAAATGTTTTTCATACAAAATTAATAAAATTGACTATTTTTTTAAATGTTGATAGACATAGTTATTTCGCCGTTATTTATAAACGAAAAAGAGCTTTGTTTCGAAAGTATTCGCACGCACAAAAAATTACAATGTGTCCAAAACCATGGGTAACAATTCGACGTTGATTTCGTTGTACCTACACCTTAACTAGTGCTAATAACGTGGCGTTTGTTTACAAAGATAGCTTATCGGATAATTGAAACCGCCGTTGTGTGATGTTACGGCATTGGCTAAATTGGAGTCCTACGAGTAAAAACAACATAGGTACCTGCTTTAGGAATTATGGCTGCCATGTTATAGCTACTTTTGGATTATGGGTGCCATGTTACACCTACTTAGGAATTATGGCTACCGTGTTTTGAATTTATATAAATTCATAAACTTTTGGAGTCTGGAATGGTGGCAGATGAATATGAATTTAGGACACTAATTTGTGCCTTATCGAAATCGGTAGAAGTAATAAATTGAGCAATTTTTGAGTTTATTGAATGTGAGGATGTTTTACTTCCATAATATTATTTTTTTGTAAAATTACTCCACTAGTTTGTTATAATTGTTAATATCCTTTATATTAATTAATCCTTCGGATCGAAGGAGATTTTCTTAGTGTTCTAATTTTATAATAGTAATTGTACTTGTAATTAGATATATCGTCGGTGTTTTGTAGAAAGGGTGAAAGCGCCATTTTGAAAAAAAATCAAGAGAGCATGTTTTAGGTTTTAATGACTATTTTTTTAAATATTTACGTCGTGTTTTAAAATTCAGTCATAGTTTTAATTAAGTTTCAATCTGACAATATCGATATTTCTTTTTTTATACATTTCCAATTTTCTTCTTCTATTCTAAATAAATAAACTGCCTCCGTGGCCGAACGGTTACCATACCGAACTGCCACGCAGAGGTCCCCGGGTTTGATTCACGGGCCGGGAGAAATATTTGTATGGCCTACATTTATTTCTCTAGTGAGTTTGGGTGTAATTTGTGGTTGTCTATGTGTGTGTCCATGGCACCTGCGACACAGGGTTTCCCTAGTGCGGGGCTATGTTGAGTGTGTGCGTTATTATTATTAGTGTGTGCGTTAAATAATAATATAATGTATTTTCATCATTGAACCATTTAATCGTCCCACTGCTCGACACGGGTCCCTTATCAGGCGACGGTTTAGGCCGTAGTCTGCCACACTGACAAAATGCGGATTGGGGACTTCACATGTTTTCCGAGTGTTGTGTACCTTCTTCGACGTGCAGGTTTCATCACGATATGTTTTCCTTCACCGAAAGCACACCCCGGACATTCCAGACAACTGTCGAAAATTATTTGCCTCCTACTACTACATACAGCAAGGCGCTATCTGCACACGCGCAAATGTGTGCGTGAAGTGGCTGGGTTACCCATCACTTGCTCGTACTATTTATTACGTTACGTAGTCAGAGCGGCAATCTGTTATCTATAACTCAATTATAGAATCCTAATAATTACGTAATAAACACATGTTCATTGCGTATTTATATCGATATAATATTATATTTTTCATTAATTCACTAACTGAAATAATATTGAAGATTTATTTTGAAAATTAAAAGCACTTAAAATATCATATTTTGGACAGGCACCTTTAAATAAGGTAACCTAAGTATTTGAAATTGCGTGTCCAAGTTTATCATTAGGTACCTAGTTCATAATTAGGTGTATTCACTACGTAATATTTTATCGGCAATACAAATCGAAAATTCGAGAACCCTTCTCTAGCTCACGAAGTTATGGCGTCTTATTATATTGATATAATAAATCTGTATTAGATATCTGCATTAAAGAAAACAATAACTGAATGAATCTCAGACGTAAGTCTTTTACTTACTTCGTTTCATCTTTCAAAAGTTTAGATTATGTAGCACAATTCACGACCATTATAAATAATAACGTAAAATGAAGCATCATTTATATATTAATGTACAAATTTCGTAATGAAAAAATGAAAACTATATTCAAATATTAAAGCCGTCTTAGAACGAAAACGGCTCGCCGACAGCCTTGTTCTCGTTCAGTCAATGTGTCCGTCGTCATAGTGCGGGGCGTGCGTTGGCGCTGAAGTATATAAAGCCAGGGAGGGGCGGAGAGTCCGTTCTCGTTACTAATCTGTTCTCTGCCAAAAGGCTCATGTTGAATTTCTATTTTAATTCCAAAGAACTTAGAGGTGAGTGCCCGATTTCGAACCCAACGGTCTCTACTTGAAAGGCGATAGGTCAAACCATTAGGCTGCCATGGCTGTAATAACGTATTTAATAAGGTATTTTATGGTATTTGAAGTAGCGCGTGCGATATTGCCATAGACTAATTGCTTTAATGTAAACGCCAGCCATTATTAAACCAACCACTATTATTAATTATACTTTGCCTCGCATGTCTAGAACCATTGAAATATAAACACTATTGCATGATTGTCTTTCAATATATAGTTTTTTAGAAAACAAGACGGTACTTTACAGGACACGAAAGCCGTCGAATATAAACCAATAAGGAGTGTTCTAGTCGCGAATCGAGGCGAGATTGCTATCAGAGTATTCCGAGCATGTACGGAGTTGGGTATCCGATCTGTTGCTATCTACAGCGAGCAGGACCGATTGCAAATGCACAGGTATACGATTCAATTGTTTAGTGACATAGAACTACTAGATCTGTGATCTCCTCGCACATAGCATAGTATTGTTAGCTTACCTACAGTAAGGCAACTTTTTGATGTTCGACGATACAGCTGCACGTGTAGGCAATTGCCTAAGTAGGTGTCACGCAGATATGCCAGGGTTGTCACGAATTGGAACAAAAATATGTTAATGAATGTACGTAATGAAAATGCTTTAGACTGGATGTAATTTAGTTTTAGAATTATTTAGAATTACTTATCCTGATGTAAAGAATGCTTTCATGCCACCTAATAGTACAGGTAACATTATATACTTATATATTACAATATAATTAGTGGGAGATAGGTGTATTATATTACAATGTAATTAGTGGAAGTTAGGTGTAATTAGTGGTACCTTTAAAGAAGAATATCTAATTTTCAGACAAAAAGCCGACGAATCCTATTTAGTCGGCAAGGGCTTAGCGCCAGTTGAGGCGTACCTTAGCGTTCCAGAAATCATCAGAGTGGCTAAAGAAAATGATGTTGACGCTATTCACCCCGGATACGGATTGCTTTCTGAGAGGTAAGATTTACTTTTTTTTTAATCTTCTGTTTGTAGATACTTTTTATTGTGTTTGTATGAGCGGTGGTATCTGAGAATGATAATTTTCTCAATTGAAATTTATTTATTTTTAGGAAAATTCACGATTTATTATTTACGATTAGTTAGTAATTATCGCCAGTCATGTGATGTGGCAAAGTGACGTTTGGTCATTTCTCCCTTGACTGTTTCTAGGCTTGTAAAAAACTTAGGACTGTATTTCTAAGTCAAAGAATCAAGTTGAGAAAATCAAATTGACAAGGACCTTGATCAGGTTCTACCGGAACTAAAAATTTTCCAATCTAGCAAATTCAAGATGGCCGCCATAAACAATTGACTTTTCTGAATCTCCGCAGATCCCTCCCACTTAGATTCGCCAAGATGGCTGCCATATAAAATTGACTTTACTGAATCTTTGCAATTATTTATTGTATATGAGTAGTTTCTTCTGAATTATATAAGGATACGACTTGCCACGATTATGTCAACTACCTGGCTACCTCCCACCTAAATAAACCTAACTAAAAAAAATCACCAATGAAACCAAAGTAATTACCAATTGACAGACGAAGTCTTTCCTACATTTAAAGTCACAAGCCTCATACACAGCCCTCGCGGGCCGCTTTAGCGCAACATGCAACACCCAAGTCGACCAGGTCTCCGTGATAAACGACCCGGTGAAAGCGTTGGAGATGGGAGTATGACTTTCAAATAAAATTTGTCAAGGACCCTGGTCAGGTTCTAGCGGGATCAAAAATTATCCAATCTGGCAAATTCAAGATGGCCGCCATAAACAATTGACTTTTCTGAATCTCCGCAGATTCCTCCCACTTAAACTCAACTAAAGAGGATTCTCTACTGAAACATAAAGTTCAACTCCCAATTTGACACAAGATATAAAGAAAGGCCTCGCGGGCCGCTTTAGCGACCCAGCGCAACGCGCGCCATCTAGTTATATATGTAAAGTTCTTACTCACTGATAGAAATAGAATGCATACTTCCCGATATGGTGGCAAAAAGATATTTATACCGTTGTGTGCGGATAGATTCTAAAGCAAATAATCAAATATGAGAACACCTAAATGTGGAAAATATGAAAAAGTTATCAACGGCCTGCAAAAACTATACATGGAATTTTTATGCATTTTTATGAGATACACCCTGGTCATTTTCTGTGGGAAGTATAAAATGTTCGAAATTCGAATAAACAAGATGGCCGCCATACAAATTAAAAAAATACAAAGCCTCCTAACACGGAAACTATTAGAGATAGGTAGGAGGTGCTTGAAGAAATGTCATAGAGGGTAACACTGGTCAACTGCGTGGGTTAAAAAATATTCAAGATGGCGGCCGAAGAAAAACTTTCTTGGATCCGGCTGAAAATTGGCATGCGGGGGTCTTTAGGAGTCCTTAATCATAATTTGGGGTCAAATATTTCTTCGCCATTTTTTAATATAGCTGCCATATAAGTGTTTTTTTTTTTCGTTAAAAATAGCCGCCGAAAGAGACTCGCTCTGTTTCTGCTGAAAATTGGCATGGGAGGCCTTTCGAAGTGCCAAATAATAATTTGTGTTCGAAATTGGTTTTTCGCCATTTTCAAATATGGCCGCCATACAAGCGTTTGTTGGCAGTAGAAAAAAAAATTGTTCTGATCCCTTTGAAAATTGGCATGTGGGAGTCTCTAGGAGTGCTTGATAATAATTTGCGATCAACATTAGTTTATCGTAATTTTTCAATATAGAAGTGTTTTTGGCGGCAGATGAAAATTTGCTCTAATTTGATTAAAAATCGGCATGTGGGGGTTTCTATGGGTGTTTAATAATAATTTGCGGTCAAAATTTATTTTCCGCCATTTTTTAATATGGCTGCCATACAAACTTTTTGGCGGCAGATGGAAATTTTCGCTAATTCAGTTGAAAATCTGCATGTGGGGATCTCTGTGTGTGTTTAATAATAATTTGCAGTCAAAATTTACTTTTTGCCATTTGTAAATATGGCCACTCTTAAAGAGCTATGGTAATTTTTAAAAAATCATAAGTGCCGAGGCCGTAGGCCGAGGTGTAGCCGTGGGCGAAGCCCGTAGCGTCTGCACGTCACCTTACGTAAGGATCCGGAGACTATTACGGTACAAGATTTCACAATTGTTCAAAATGTAAGGCATACTTCCCGATGTAGTGCAAATAAGATACTTATAGCGTTGTTCTATCTCGATCGTCTCTCTGTTAGATTGTTTTTTCTTGGAAGATATGCCAAAAAGAGAAAGTATTTACGGAAAAAATGCCCGACAATCACTCCAAATTTCTGATCTGAAGCAAGGGAATTTCCTGTACTACGAGTAGCACAGTAACGATAACTCTGAGGGCCCTGAATACTCTGAATACACTGACCAGAACAACCAATTTAAAAATATTTTTTGGCTCAAATCAGGGATCGAATCTTGAATCTTCTCATCAAGCGCCCATAGTACTTAATCTCTGTGTCACCGAAGAGTATAAGCACACCCCGTAATCTGAAACTGACCACGCGCCGCAGGCCGAGCTCGACCCCACCGTAGGTGGGGTATAGGGCTCGTATTATGTACATTTTGATGTACACGGGGCATTGGGAGTTTAAAGACCTGTGTTCAGCAATGGGGCGCAAAAAGTGTTGACAATGATGCTGATTCTATTTTTTATTAAACTACCATTTAATGTCCAATACAATATGTGTACATAAACATTCGTCTTGCTACCTTACTGACGTTTTCAATAGAGTTCACGTAACAAGCGTTTTTCTTTATCGGAATTATAACTCTTATGTATAATAAGACGCTTTCTTTCAAGGTTGTTTACGAGTTTTTAACTTTTCATTTAAACGTTAAAATAGTGCGATCGTTTTTCTCCAAATTTCCCAGATACCAAATATCACGATTGTAATTGGGTTTCACAATAACAGTTCAATATGATGGCATTGAACTATTTTCAGGTCGGACTTCGCCCAAGCAGTGATCAATGCAGGGCTAAGATTCATCGGTCCATCTCCAGCCGTCGTGCAGCAAATGGGAGACAAAGTCGCTGCCAGAAAAGCTGCCATTGAAGCGAGTAAGATTTCATCATCTGTTGTTGTGAACGTATTTTACAGGTACATAAGCCTTGTTCTAAATGAATCTTGATTCTCTACGGTCTGCTGGAATGACAAATTGACAATCAAACAATACTGTGTTAAACTACGCTCACATTATAATTGACAATAAAGCAATACAATAAGACAAGCAGTGTAACTCTATACAAACGAAGTAGCGTAACTTGTACTCGTATGTGTGCACGCACGCCGCGCGCCGTGTACGGACGCACATATTCGAATAATCTCGTGATGCACAACGCGAGTCATCACACGCGCTATTCATTTTTGGACGAAGCGTTCACTCTATATTTATCGTTGTGTTTATTGTTGTTAGAACAAAAATGCATCAAATTCAGAATTATTCAGCATTTCGTTTCTATTTCACAACCATACTCCCATAATGAGATACCAAGCCACGACACTGGTATAAAAATATCAATATGCAAGTACCTATTGAATTTGACAAAACTTATTTCAGTGACGCGTACCTTTTTTTTCGGATTATGTGTGTTTGTTCGTAAATACAATTTGCAAAATTAAAATATTCGTTCATTCATTCAATATTAATACAACTAAAATGATATTGTGACAAACCCTACGCTCCGACGTGTAGGCATGGATGCGCCGAACAGGCGGGAGTTGGATTACTTGTATTATATTATTATACTATGTAACCTAATTAATGATGTCTAAATAAAAAAAAATATTATTATCGTAACAAGCGTTGATGGCTTCTGATGATCTGACGCAACGGTACTGTTGAAATATTCCTTACCTGTGATATAATACAATTTAGAGCACATTAAGTTTAACACTAGAGCGGTTACACACGCGACTTTAAGCAGCGATGCATACTCGCGCCTGCATCGATTCAAATGCGCGATTGCATCGCTACACTTGTGATTTATAAGCGATTGCATCGATTCAATCGCGCGTTTATATCGATAAAATCGCGCGTTTATATCGATACAATCGCGCGTTTGTATCGGTGTAGTCGCGCGTTTGCATGGATGCAATCGTCTATGAATATAAATCGCAAATGTAGCAATACAATAGCGCGTTTCAAGAACGCGCGTTTGCATCGCTGCCGAAAAGTCGCCGTGTGTAACTACTCTTATACTTTTCTTATCACAAGCGGCATAGAGATGAATTTAAATCGCAAGTGGTAAGCGCAACGTTCTCCTTATCCTGTACCACGTAATGTAAATTTTAGTTTAAAAAGAAATTGCTTTAATCTATATTAAAATATTTTAATGAAAATTTTCAGAAGTCCCCATCGTTCCCGGTACCGATGGTCCAATAACAACAAAACAAGAAGCTCTCGAATTCTGCAAGAAACACGGTCTGCCGGTTATTTTTAAGGTATTAAATACATCACAAAATGTAGTACATTGTTTACAAATATGATATCTGATATTATTTACGGTGATAAAAAAAGCAATGAAAAAATGGAACGTCATAAAATGTATTACGAGAGGTATGTCAGTGAAAAATGCCGAGATTGTCCACAACGCTATAGATGGGAAATGTATATTTTCTATTGATAATTAAGGCACGTCTAGCCCACAATCTCATTTGTAATGTTAATCGACGACGTGACCGAACTATGGTAAACATTAGAAAAATTCCTATTCACTCCAGCATTGTCTTACTACTATTATTAGCCAGTATTGTATTCTATACATTATCGAAAAGCTCTTGTGGAACCCACTTCGTGATTTTCAGGCAGCGTACGGTGGCGGTGGTCGCGGTATGCGGGTAGTACGCGAGATGAGCGAAGTGGAATCCTCATTTGAACGTGCGTCTTCAGAGGCGCTTGGCGCGTTTGGAAACGGGTCCATGTTCATCGAGAGGTTCATTGAACGACCGAGGCATATTGAGGTTCAACTTCTAGGTAAGATCCGAAAAATAGTTTTATTTTCAATTGTCTCTCATTATCTATCCTTATAGACAATGGGAAACAATCGTGAGAGTACGTATGTATATAGAGTCTATATATTAACTAAGACAACGGATAACTCGCGTATTTAAGTCGAATTTTTGCTCGACACGTTTCGAACCAATTCGTGGTTCTAAAAATCATGCGAAATCATGAGATTCTGCGGCTGTGACTCGACGGAAACTGCGCGCCGAAGCTCTGTTTTCGCAGTTCTGCGGCAATGTAACTTGAGCCTAAATAGAAAATTACGTGGATATAAACATTATCTACGAGTGCAACACATTTGCAAAGCGACATAACAAGTCACTAGATATCTTATCAGAGAAATCGTTTACTCATTGAGTGAAGTTTAAATGGCATTTTATTGAAGCGAATGTCAGATTGATCATGCGAGATAAAGTGAACGGTGCATGAAAGGTAAAACGTCTTAACGTGCATTTGGAAAATATTACGGTAGAGCGATTTACAGTAATCTTTTTAGCAAAACTTTAAGCTAAAACTTTCTAGTTTTCCATATAATAAATAAAATTAGACATAAGATAATTGCCTCCGAGGCCAAAGGATACCATGCTGGTCTACCACGCAGAGGTCCCGGGTTCGATTCCTGAGCTGGGAGAAGAATTTGTATGGACTACATTTATTTCTCTCGTGAGTTTGGGTTTAATTTGTGGTTGTCTATGTTTGTGTCCATAGCGCCTACGATATGGGGTGTCCCTAGTGTGGGGCTATAAAAAAATAATATTTTATTTTCACTGGATTGATTTTTTTCAAACAAACCAACGAGTCACCCGTGACCACGGAACCTGTAAAGGGCCCGTAACGTTACATTTGTTTGAAAACACAAATACACGCTATTTAATTTAGATTTTTTGAATTTGACATAATTCTACAAAGTTTTCAGGGGAGGTTTTTTCATAGAAAAAAAAATATTTATTTCTAAAAAACATTTCGGGTTCTATGTATATAGATCAAATGCTCACTGTGAAGGTATATAAGTCATCAATCAACCAGTTACATCTAATATTAATACGTGACCATGAGACATGTAGAGAGTCCGAAACGTTAGTTTGTTTGAAAAAAAACAAATATACGCGATATTTTCTGTTAAAAAAAAATAAAATAAAATACTTGGAATCGTGCAAAATTACAAGAAAATGTAATTGTAATCTATATTAAAATATTTTAATATAGGTGATAAAGCTGGAAACGTGGTGCATCTCTACGAGCGCGACTGTTCTGTGCAACGTCGCCATCAGAAGGTTGTAGAAATTGCACCTGCACCTAGGCTAGACCCTGAGGTAATCATAACCGAGATATTTTTATTTATAGACTCATAACTTAAGGCATAGATAACATGTAAAGTCCGCTTTGGTTCTCGGCCACCACAGAGGTTACACAATTCGATAAATGCTGAGTGAAAACCATTTTGGATCTTCATGTTTAGTTGATAAAATTTACTTTAAATTTAAATTTAAATTTGTTATGATAAAATGAGACCAAATAAACAATATTTTCTTTCTTTCTAAATGTACGAACAAATACGATAAGTCAGTCAATTCGTAAGCGTACTGGTGACTATGAATATTTTATAAAACCGTACCTCTACCGATGAAACCCATACACAGCAGTGGAAAATAATAATGTGCCAGATAACCACACCGATTGCCTGGTCTCAAACTAAGGAATTCCCTGTATTATGAGTACCAGACCAGAACCAATTTAGAAAATTACATTGCCGAAATTGGTCCTACTGGTAATCGAACCCACGACCTCGTCATCCAAGGTCCACAGTGCTAACCATTGGGCCACCAAGATCGTCAACGTAGACAACATAGAAGAGAATAATACTTGGACCTACCCCAATGGAAATCAAAAGCCGTAAGTATATCTATCTATATGATGTATGTGGGTAGAAAACGTAAGTGGGTAGAAACGTATGATAAATGTAAGGATATGTTTTATTGTCCTCTGGGTATTAGGACACCACCTGGTTCCCTAGACAAAATTTCTCAATGTACATTATATAAACGTTTAATCTATCTATTTCTTATTCATACAGGTGCGTAAACAAATGGTGGACTGCGCAGTACACTTAGCGCGACACGTTGGTTACGAAAATGCGGGTACAGTGGAATTCCTCCTCGACGACAAAGGCAATTTCTACTTCATCGAAGTTAATGCCAGGTAACTTGTCAAGTTATCACTTATCACAGAACACAGAACAATAAAGTCAATACAGTAGAAGCGGTTAGTTAGCGTCTGACGCGTGCCAACTATAGGTCTCGAAAGACCTGTCTGAGGTCAGTTCGCCATTTTCTCGTCGTATGGTCTGGTTGTGTCATTTTTCGTGCAAATTCTCTAAAATCCTAGAAAAATACCTTCTTCTGCTGTTTTGGAGTGCAAAAATGATAGCCGCACCAAAAATATTATCTATCATCATCGGAAAGTTTTATTGTAATAAATTTTCAATTTTCCGCTTATCGAAATATTTTTTTATTACAAGATACGAAAGTAAAGCTTATACCCCTGCAATAAGGTCGCTTCTTTATTGGAGAACTATGTCGATAACTCCAATTCGTCGTCCTTCAGCAATGAACCGCTAGATGGCAGCACATTGATTGAAATTTCAATGTAACATCAAAACGTCGTAACTTGCAATAATAGGTATTGAACTTTCAACGATATGCCAACAGGGTAAAGTTTAAATTATATTAACAATTCAGAATTTGTTATATCTTTTTAAATTTGAAACTACGACCAATAACTGTCTCCGCGGCCGAACGGTTATCATGCCGGACTGCCACGCAGAGATCCCAGGTTCGATTCCCGGGCCGGGCGAAATATTTGTATGGCCTACATTTGTTTGGGTGTAATTTGTGGTTGTCTATGTGTGTGTTATGGCACCCGCGATACAGGATTTCCCTGGTGCGGGGCTATGTTGAGTGTGTGCGTTATTATTATTACTAATCAATATCAAGATTTTGTAGAGTTTCAAATTAAAAATGTGTGAGTTTTGGCGACATCGGTTCTGATAGTAATTGAGGCTTTAGGCACTTCCATTGTTTTTTTCTTCCGTGTCACAGAATGTCTAGTTTATAATTCTACATATAAAATTTCAAGTGATAATAATATTATTAAAATTTACACTTACATACAGAAATAGGTCCACAGGACTTAAAAAAATTCAAGGGTGTACAACTCAATCACAGTTTAAAAAAAGAGTTCCCGACCCTTCAACTAGGCAAAATTGTTATCATATTGATAGTCTACTTGAGAGACGAACCACAACACCTCTAGACGTCGTGGAAATTTTCCTACCACTGTTGTGGACCATGGCTTAAACCATCTCATTAACGGAGACATGTGCCCAGTGGTGTGACGGTGAATGATATTAAGTAGCAAACCCTCTCATCGAATGCTCGATGCATAACTCGCGAGCTGATGTGTACGTTCACTTGCTAACGAGTCGAAGAAGTGTTCTTGTTTATTTTAGTTTTATGTTCTTTTTAATTACGCTCATAATGGGATAGTAAGATTTTTTTTTAAGTAAAACAACATAGTCCGAAGAATTGCAACACTTAATTGATAGTAAGGGCATATTCCTTGCAAAACAGATAGCGTTGGCTAGCTATTTTGCGAGGACTGTGTAGAGCTATACAAATGAGCGTGGGCTCAGCGTTTGTCTCTATCGAGTTTCACACGCATTTCAATGGATTCAACAACGACAACATCACGTCGCAAGACTGAAGAAAGGGGCGGGGGAGGGGTATGTGCTCACGCCACTGGGCCGCTAACGTAACACGCGTTACAGGAACGTACGTTTACAGCGCCTCTGAATTTCTAAATGTGTGGAAAGGTTTATTGGCTGCGCCTAAATCTCGTTTGAGTCGCATTAACGCGCATCGTCTGTGCGTCGTGTTGCACGTAAAAATACGCCATATGCACAGATGATGTAAGACGCAGCGTGGGTAGACCATCCGATATGGTGGACCGTCGTCCTGGCAAATGTTCTTCTTCTTCTTCAAGTGCCTCTCCATGATTGAAGGTCGGCAGTCAGTTTTCTTTATCTTTCTTTGTCCAGAGCTAGCCTGAACAGTTGTTCTACGGTCTTGATCCACTACCTGATATTACGAAGTCATGACATTTTCCTTCTTCCAACCTTCCGCTTCCCAGCTACTTTGCCCATCATTATAGTGTGCAATAGATGATATCTGTCATGTCGTAATACATGACCCAAATAAGCAATCTTCCGCTGCTTGACAGTGCGTACCAACTCCACCTTCTTCGGCATACGTTTAAGGACCTCGACATTCGTGACTTTGTCCGTTCAACTGATGCGGAGCATTCTACGATAGCACCACATTTCGAACGCTTCAAGTTTCTTCCTGAGGTCTTTTGTGGGCCATGACTCGCATCCATAAAGAACGACTGGTCAGATGTAGCACTGCAAGAGCCCAGTGCGGAGTTTAATAGATAGCTGCCGGCTGCTGGCAAAGGTTGCGGGCACAGAAATCTAACATAGTTTGCTGGTTTTGGCGATCTTTGAGGGAGGCCTGTGTACAGCGTTCGACGTTTTTGGTCTGTAATGATGATGATAAAAATAGATGAACGTTTGGCCACATCACCTGTGTTCTGTCAATTAGCTACATTTTCCTTAATGATTTATCGTACTTTTTCAGGTTACAAGTAGAGCATACAATTACTGAAGAAGTGACAGGTGTGGATCTAGTTCAATCCCAAATCAGAGTAGCTGAGGGTATGACCTTACCCGAATTGGGACTAACACAGGACAACATCAAGGCACAAGGGTATGCCATTCAGTGCAGAGTCACTACTGAAGACCCGGCAAATAACTTCCAGCCTAGCACGGGAAGAATTGAGGTGTTTAGGTAAATGTATTACAATTACAGATTGTGCAATTAGTACTAAGGCCAAAGGATAACTTAAGTGTCCAAAGCCAGGTCACCTTTATTGTAATCTATATTTGATAATTGTCAACAGATCAGGTGAGGGTATGGGCATCCGCCTGGACTCTGCTTCTACATATGCTGGAGCCGTTATTTCCCCGTACTACGACTCATTGCTTGTCAAAGTAAGTCCCTATACTTGTTTATGTTATACAGACCGCTACATGGACTGTTTTCATTGTTCATTTCATAAATTTCGTAAAAGGTGTCGCTACGACTAATACTCTGTTTAAATCCATTACAAAAATCTGCAACAGGCCATTAGGAAATTCATAAAGACTTGGTCTGTAGCTCAATTGGTACTACTAGGGAGCGGTAGCCACAGTGCGGCAACAGACGCTGGTTCGAGTCCAGTTAGATCGAAGGCGAAGGCGCTATGGCTAAAAAGTCGTTGAGAAACCAAATACAAAGATCCAACAACAAGCACATAGAAAAATTCGTGTGGTTCGCTGGTTCATACCGTGGGTTAGTTGGCACAACGTCCGGCACTGTTTGCTAGAAGACGTCTGTCGGTCGGCCGGATCAAAAGATTTTTTTCCAAGTGATCTTTGCATTAATAATTATAACAAACTAGTGGAGTAGTTTCACAAAAAATAATTGAAAATTAACTAAATATAATATATAAATCGAGTTTTGTTCTTATCTGAATTTACAAATATTTAGTTTGATGATATGAATCATGAATGACATTATTACAAAATGTTTATTGTATGCTCACATATATTACCTTTGCATTGAATTGACTCGCTTGAAAATCGCATTGAAATTAATCGATACAAAAAATCTTTAGATCGTATGCACTTGAATTGGTTTTCATAAAAATCGTATCGTAATACATTCCTAGCCGTAAGTAAGAATCCACAGGATGGCAAGGTAATGTGCAAAGTTGCCCCTTTTTCGTGTAAAAAAAAGATTTTTTGCGTCGCAATTATGATTTTTACACAATAAACAAACATTCCTGCTACGTTACCTGGTTTTGTAGCAGGAATAATTCTTCCTCTCTCAGTGCTGGTAATGTATTTTGGTTAAGTACGGGTAACAAGGATCCCATTGTATAACATCTCAAATCAGCATTGTAATTGCTCTATTTTAACATATATAAAAACTAATTTATAATTCAAGATCGTTAGTGATTTCTGTCATGCGATTTAAAGCTCTGAATGGCACTACAACAGTTATGGATAGGCGTGTCCCTTACCACCAGGCGCACGACTTTTTCGTCCCTTCAACACGGTCCAAACACATTTGAGAAAAACATTTTTAGCTTAAGCATTAACCGCGAAGTGTTAAGACAAACAGTCACTGTTAACTTGTCATCAATCGCAGGTAATCTCACACGCTCAAGACCTCTCCGCGTCAGCGGCAAAAATGAATCGCGCCTTACGTGAGTTCCGTATTCGCGGTGTCAAGACCAACATTCCCTTCTTATTAAACGTACTTGAGAACCAGAAGTTCCTTAATGGTAAGTTCACAATATTTGTTACTATTTGAACACCGATTAAATATCATTAACAAAAAAATACACATTAAAACTTTTCCCATGGCTCCAATAATATCTTTTTAAGATTCCTTTTAATTCTTTAGTTATTTCTAATATCGGGGTCAATTCTGTGATTTTTTACACACGATCATGATGTATGATGATAATCAATCCATTATGCGTTCCCCTATTGGACACGAGTTTCTAAGTAGAGGTTTTACACTTATGTTGGACAAAGTACGAGTGTATGGCCCTCGAAAATATATTTTCACAGCTACATCGATATCGCAACACATAACTTTTTCATAAAAAAAACCGACATCAAAAGTTCGTGGAATTACATGTATTTGTCAAGTTTTATTGGAAAGTGCGCGAAACTGGATTCATCCCGTAGTTTGCTACTCTTAGGGGTGGATTTTTATTTTTTCAAATTTAAGGGGACCATTGCATTGAGTACCCCAGGGTACCCCCTTTCCAACAAAAAAAATCATCAAAATCGGTTCACAAATTCCGAAGTGATTAGGTACGTAACATAAAAAAAAATACAGTCGATTTGAGAACCTCCTCCTTTTTTTGTAGTCGGTTAAAAATACCATATGCATATTAACATACACAGGAATTAACATAACACTACATAATAATACTGATAATTTAAAAACATTTCAAAAGGAAAAGCATTTTCGTTTTAATTCTGACCTGTGAAATTTCAGTTTCTCTGGCCCCTAATTAAAAAAGTTTACCTACCCCTGGTTTAGACCATAGTCCGTTTCGCTGGCCCAATGCGGGTTACATGTTTTCCAGGGCTTGTCAACCTTCTTCGACGTCCAGGTTTCATCACAAAGTTTTCCTCCACTAACAGCGAGACACATTGCTACTAAATATTCACAAATGTAAACTGCAATATAATGAAGAACTAAACTTATGACAATCTACTTAGAGCTATAGAATTGTTTCCGTAACGACGGTGAATTGGAAATCACATCATATCGACACAAACTCGAACTTATTCTATGATAAGCTTTAATCTTCACATTGGTTAAACTTTACTAGTTATTCATGAGGCAGATTCCCCTGAGAAGAATCCATAAGAAACTCTAGGATTGCTGAAAATTACCCATCCCTTAAATGAATTAGTGAACCAGTGAATATGTTTTCCTCCAGGCGTCCTAGATACTTACTTCATCGACGAGCATCCCCAACTCTTCATGTTCAAGCAATCTCAAAACCGAGCGCAAAAGATCCTCAACTATCTCGGTTTTGTGCTGGTGAATGGACCGGCAACTCCTCTGGCCACCAACATTCCTCCTTCTGATGTCCAACCGTATATACCTCCAGTGCCATTGGGTGAGTATATGTTGTAATAGTTAGGTAGGCATGAGGTACGGTAATAACTGATGATGAATTATCTACATTATGATAGAATATCCACATATTGTTGTATTGAGCAAAAAGATAATGTGAAGTTCTAAGAAAAGTAAAGATTAGTCCTATGTTAGGCCTAGTACCCACTATCGGCAAATTTGCCGGGTCGGTAAAACAGCCGGAAAGGCTAGTGGCTGTACAATTTATATGAAGCTATTCACATGCCGGAGCGTTTGTCACTACAGACTGTCGGCCGAACGCCCGGGCCGAAGTAATGTGAATGACGTCGAAAGTCGTCCCAATAAATCATCAAAAGAGGATGCTGTCATTCGAAAATAATTGAAGAACTTTGACTCGTTAATTCTCAGTTGGCCCGTTAAAAACATTTCCCGTAAAATAGGATGTACCCAATGTGTTCTTAATAGAGTAAAATTAAGCCTTCTAAGATACCACCGCAATACCACAATTTCGTCGTCTATCGTGCGCAGTGGTCTGAATTCGACTGAGATGAGGACTTCAGTCACCGGTTTTCTTGCGAGATCCGGGTTAATATGAACACCAAGTCCGAGTGCCGGTTTCCCCGGCAAATTCGCCGGTCCGGCGTAGTGGGAACTAGGCCTCAAGGCTTCGAATTAAAGGCCGTTTTATCTTAATGTGTAAGTTATAGAAAGAGGTATATGTAAATTGGATTTAAAATATGATATTGGTTGCAATTATGTACGTGCCTTATACAGTAACAGCGGTTACACACGGCAACTTTTAGCAGCGATGCAAACGCGATGCAATAGCGATGCAGTCGCTAATCGTCTACCTTTATACACGCACGCGATTTTAAGCTGCGATGCAAGCGCACGACTGCATCGATACAAACGCGCGATTACATTTCTACACTTGGGATTTATAGGCGATTGCATCGATGCAGTCACGCGTTTGTACGCCTATAAGTCGCAAGTGTAGCGATGCAATCGCGCGTTTCACGAACGCACGTTTGCATCACTGCTAAAAGTCGTCGTGTGTAACCACTCTCACATGGACTTTCAATTATTTATTTTGCCTCCTTTAGTGTAACATATTTACAACATTTCAAATTTTTTACAAAATTATTAATTTTGTCAGAATTTTCCACCGTCTTTTATTCGACGCCATTTTTACCCTATAAACTGGACCGCAATTTCGATGTCTTTTACAAATTATATAAAACAAGCATCTTGGTTTTTCACTACCTTTTAATAACCATCTTAATTTTTCCCACATTCTGCCTAATTTATACTGCAATTTATTTATTAAAAGTTCATAAAGAGTGTGTCTAAATTTTCATTTTGATTTAACACATTATTTTGCTTATTTTATAAATTGTAGACTTTTCAACTTTTTAATAAAACGAATTTCGAAGTGGAGGGTGAAATTTTTATAAAGAGCGCTGAAAATCCGTTTATTATTAATATAATATTAATTTTTTTTTCAGCCCCCTCTGGGTATGGTAGGTTCAAAGAGAACTCAATTTATTATATGTATTAATTACAGCTTTGTTTTTAAATATTTGGTTGCGAGTACTATACTACGGAGCACGGGGTTTTTATTGTTTCTAGCAGTAGTTTAAAATATGGCTTGGTAATTGTAAACTAAAATTTCATGCTTCATAATGATGGAATAGTAAAATTAGTTGGCAGTCTACATCTCATGTAAATTATCACTTTCATCTCACGTTGTCAAAATATCAACAAAACAAACGACATCAGGAGTCGAGTAGCAATGCCACTAATTTTATTCTTTATGATTGCTACTAATTCCTTATATCCTCCCGTACACCGAGGACTTTTTTGTGTTAATATACTTCTCATTTTCGTAGTTAATTAGTCAATTACTTTGGCGTTCATCGGTGCACATTACAGAATTTGTAGCACTTCGCCTCGTTATCATTGGACATGTTTTTCAGACCTTTCTCCAGAGGCCATCAGACGTCAAGAATTAACTGGTGAAAATACAGGTAAGGTCGTTAGAATAATGCATAATCGTGTGTTGGAACTTGTACATTTCGTTCCAAGTCTTAACGAATTCAGATGACATGACAAATTAAGTCAACTTGATGGGTCAGTAACATGTCCATTTAGTCCTTCATACGTCGAAAAGTAACATAGACAATGAAAGGGTATTCTTTAAATTAAGTTGAGGCTATCAACGCAAAAGCGGTGTTACCCGCTTTAATTTTTTTCTACAATAATTCTTTCACTCAATTAACAGAATAGTCGAATGCAGTGAAATGTATACTGAAATTAAAATAAAATTTTGTTCAGAACGGTTCATCGCAATCGTTAATTATTTCGAACAATTATTGTAGTGTCAAGTTAGCCAATGTTTAATGAGTAACATTGCAATAACAAAAACGCAAAAACGATTGTACGTACCTAATTAAAAAGCCAAATTGATAATTTATATAAACATAGTCATACATAAACAAAATGAAATTATTTGTAAGAGATAAAATATTGTTTTGGCGTCGCTCTATTTGTCAATAAGGTGACGAAATTTGTTACTGTTTTGTGGCTTTCGTTTCCTATCTTTATCTGAAAGGGTTATCGATATTTACAACTGCAATGCTTTATTTGTATTGCCGCTACGTATTTTTTACGCATAATTTACTAACAAAAAGCACTTACTAAATACTCTATTTCAATATAATATTCTGCCTTAATATGAAAATATTTACTCATTATATATTTGGTATCATATGTTATTCTCTGGAAATGGTATTTGGTCGCTTAAGTTACCTCAAAATAGTTTTCAATTGTATCAATCATCGACATTGAAATGGGAACTATTAAAGGTTCCGAAAAACAATTTAAATTGCAGCGAACTAAGGCTAATTAAGGCTACAGCGCAATAGTAGTGCCGACATTCAATTTTTATTCTATAATATTACTGCAAATGATACTAAAGTATATAATTTATTTTATATTTGGATGCAATTTTCATGTATAAAAATATTTAATTGTTATTATTTTTTGTACACGAATAATATAATTAATTATGTATGTTATTATGACCTGAAGTAATATTATAGACAAAAGAAATTGGGTTACACCACTTTTGCCCTGATAGTCTCAACTGTGAAAACTAACTATAAAACTAAGCTGCATTAAAATAAGTTATTGTATAATAAACACAGATTATACCTACCGTACCGACACGCAAAATAGGCGCCTTGACGTCGAGTTGAGGACGCCAGCCCGTTACACCAAGTACCAAGATACCTACCGGCAAATAAATATTTATTTAAATGCTTACTAAACTATCAAGAACTTTAACAAGAACCAATGTTTGAAAAAATATTGTGCATTAGAATAATATACTAAAGTTCCGAAAGAAAAACTGTTTTGTAATACGAACATCGCGGTGTTTGAACATCGCAAAATTCAATAAACAAACCAATTTTCATAAAAGTGACATTAATATCACCCTGCGGTAGCTGGAAAGTTACCGGCTGAATGAGAAGGTTCGTAAATCTCTCACAGATGTCTACGGAAGAAAAATAACCAATGTTCTGTGCAGATGTCGCTTACAACGTGGAAACTCAATGGTTTATAACAGACACATAGAAGAATTGCGTCGACTTGGTAACTCGACCTGTAGGTCAGTATAAAGAGCGATAGAGATCAGATCTTCGATTCGATCTTTGTATTAATAATCATAGCAAAAACTAAGTTACTGATATATGTCTTATGTTGTTACTTGTTGTAGTATTTCCGAATGAACGAATAGTTTTACAAGTACCAAAACTTACGAAGTTTATAAGGTCACTTTTTGAATTTAATAATAGGTGATTTGCGATAAGCGATTTTTGAGAGAGAGCGATGCTCGGTATTTCCCTGCGTGATAAAATCAGAAATGAGGAAATCCGTAGGAGAACTAAGGTAACCGACATAGCTCGAAGAATTGCTCAGCTGAAGTGGCAGTGGGCGGGGCACATAGCTAGGAGAACCGATGGCCGTTGGGGCGGAAAGGTTCTTCAATGGCGACCGCGCACCGGACGACGCTCAGTGGGTAGGCCCCCCACCAGGTGGACCGACGATCTGGTGGAGGTCGCGGGAAGCCGATGGATGCGGGCAGCGCAGGACCGATCGTCGTGGAGATCGTTGGGGGAGGCCTATGCCCAGCAGTGGGCGTCGTATGGCTGAATGATGATGATGATTTGCGATAAATAGGTTATATAAATAGCTATCAATAGGTTAGGTTTCAAAGTAAGTTGTTAGAGTAGTAATAATACTAAATGCCGGAACTTTCAGTTTTTCATTCGACCGTTTCCGTATTCATTTTGCATAAAAGTTTTCGGTAGCTTAGTAAATAACGCAGTAATACTAATATTTTGAATAAGTCCATTTTTAATTTACTTTTCGAAGTTTTTGTTAAACCAATCTTTGAACTGCTTTGCAGTGAAGTTTGAACCGCTTAGCAATCTTTCAATAGAAAGATCCATGTCCGTACTGATACCTTGGTTACTTACTGTAAGGACCTAATTTTTTTTTATAACATCAAGTGACGGGACGAACAAGTCGTGCGCCTATTACAAAATTTACTGGCCTTTTGTCATTGGCCTCGTCCCCGTACCTATACGAGATAATTCCAAGCAGTTTAAGGCTTTTTTTTTCAGTTGCCTGTACATACCGATGACCCACGCCAATGAACGATTAAATTGTAGAATTACTGCTCAATTCACAAATATTTTCCATAGCGGTCCAACCACCGAAAGGATATAAGCAGATCCTCAACGAAGGTGGCCCTGAAGCATTCGCCAAAGCTGTTAGACGGAACAAGGGTCTACTTCTTATGGACACCACATACAGAGACGCCCATCAGTCCTTGCTGGCGACCAGAGTGAGGACACATGACCTGTTGGCCGTATCACCTTATGTCGCTCATAACTTCAGCAACTTGTATTCGCTTGAAAATTGGGGAGGAGCAACCTTCGACGTTGCTCTTAGGTTAGTATACAAAATATACAGAAAATCAACGTCATTTGTCAAAGATACGAAAAAAGACTGGTCCGACCAGTGTTCGTAACCAGATATTAGTAAACATCTTTGATTGCTGTACATGAAGTAAGTACTATTGCACGCACATCAGTAGATTAATTTTCGGTCACATTTGTTTGAGATAAAACTTTTAACTTATGTTTTTTCTTGTGTTTCACACACACACACACACACACACACACACACACACACACACACACACATACACACACACACATCACACACGCTTAACTTATTCAATTACTGCCCAATGACATTTGTGTATAATAATCTTAAGTGCACAATTTGCTCAACCAAGAGACGGGGACCAGAATTCCTAAGTGACAGAGCTCTTCTACTTTAGGCTTCTGACTCTCACAAACATTAATATTTAAGCTATGTTCGATTACTATTTAATAAGTATTTGAAAGAGATAATACACAAATATTTTTAAATGTACTTTCACGTTTCAACTCGGTTCATAATTAGTATTTCCCTTTTTTATATACCCACAGATTCCTGCACGAATGCCCGTGGGAACGATTGGAAGACATGCGTCGGATGATCCCCAACATCCCGTTCCAGATGTTGCTGCGAGGTGCTAACGCCGTCGGCTACACCAACTACCCTGACAATGCTGTCTACAAGTTCTGTGATATGGCCGTATGTATTTTCATTAGCAAAAAAGTCTTGTACTACTATTTTTGTAATGCAATGAAAAGGAAGATATAAAGCTACCCGTATACTTATGTAAGCAAGTGACGATGTTTTGTATTTACTTTGAAGCTTTTTTGCTACCATATAATGTATAATGAAATTTATTGTAATAATAGTAGTAGCAGTAGAGCTCCTTGTGAAGGAGTTCGTCCAGAGAAATACTGCGACCTTGCAGGCACATGGGGTACATGTCAACATATTTATGACTCAGGGTGACAGGCGCAGTGGCAGTGTCCCTTAGGTCTTTCAACTGCTATGGAAATGGGGTGTCGCTTAAACCAGGCACACGACTTGTTCATTCCGTCACATGAAATAAAAAAAAACTCCGTGACATTATCTTGTTCATAATAATGTCAGACAAAAGTTTCAACAACATATTAAACGGTGGGTTACTTTTGCTATTCAATAAAGAGCTTCAACGAGGTCATATTAATTATCTTTCACACGTTTCCAGGTAAAAGCGGGCATGGACGTATTCCGCGTGTTCGACTCTCTCAACTACCTTCCAAACCTTATCATCGGCATGGACGCTGCAGGCAAAGCGGGGGGTGTAGTCGAAGCAGCTATTTCTTATACCGGCGACGTGTCAGACCCTAACAAGAAGAAATACGACCTCAAGTACTACTTAAACCTCGCTGATGAGCTTGTGAAAGCTGGAACTCACGTGTTAGCTATTAAGGATATGGCTGGATTGCTAAGGCCGCAAGCTGCCAAGTAAGATTTCTTGGTGTTAACAAAAGTGTAACAAGACAAGTAGTGTAACTCCCACCGGTTCGGTGTGTTCATTTGCGGCTCGCATTGTGGGGTTGCCACATTATTATTTTAATTGTACCTACAGGTTATAAACATAATTTGAAAAAATTAAGATATTATTCACAGTATTCTCATGCTATATTGAAATAACATTTGTGAAACCCAGTACCTACTTACATATTGGTATTTTTATACCAACACCGCGGATTGGTATCTCCTTGGAGTTTCTATATACATAATGATATATTTAAAAATAAAAAAATATGTGTATATAGATTTGGCATACAAATAGTTGTGTTATGCAAGGCTGCAAAGTTGTTGTTTGACGCGAGTGTGTTTGTATTGAAACCTGAGCAACCGAAGGAGCTGAAGATTGATTCACGAGCGAAGCGAGTGGTTCAAATATAGAATTCTGAGCGCAGGGTTCAGGGCGCAGGGTTTCAAGACACGTGTCGCAAAACAACTTTGCTGCGGAACGAAACACAACGTTTGCCTCACTGTAGCGAGGAAAATGATAGGTATTTATAAACAAAATTAGTTATCGTTGCCAATTTAATGTCAACAATAATAAGAATAAAATATACCAACGGATTTATATTACATAAATAATCTACTTCAAATCGCGTAGTTGAACATGTCATTATGTTTATTTTTCATCGAAAGAAAAATTTGGGTGCACCACAGTTCATCGTCAAGTTCGAATTCCAAAAACGCTTTTGCGCGTAGATTTCTAATGAGAAAGAAAGCCTTTCCGAGCTAGTGAGGTGAAAAATATATATTAAATAGTTTAAACACCGAGCGAACGCTTCAGTTCTATAATTTAGTTTAGTAGCAGTAGAGCTCCTTGTGAAAGAGTTCGTCCAGGCAAGTACTGCCACCTTACCTATTTCTGCCCCAAAGCATTAATATCAGCTTTACTGTGTTACGGTTTTGAAGGGTAAGGGTGCTGGTGAAATTACAGGCACATGGGACTTGTCAACGTATGTCTCAGGGTGACGGGCGCAGTGGCAGTGCCCCTCAGATCTTTGCGATTTAAAGCTCTGAGTGGCACTGCAACTGTTATGGACAGGCGTATAGCTTACCATCAGGCGCACAACTTGTTCGTCCCGTCACTAGATATTATCAAAAAAAATAATGACGCGTGCGGTCCGCACTATGCAACGCGAGTGCACCGCGAGTTGATGCGAATGTGTGCGTCCATCTACGGTGCACACATACAAGTCGCTCTACTTCGTTTATATGGAGTTACACTACTTGTGTTATTATTCTGTGGTTGCTATGCATTTTTTCTTTACCATATCTGTGTAATTGAAGGTTGCTTATCACTGCAATCCGCGATAAGCACCCCGACGTGCCGATCCACGTGCACACGCACGATACATCGGGCGCGGGCGTGGCGTCCATGCTGGCCTGCGCCGAGGCGGGCGCCGACGTGGTTGACGTCGCCGTCGACTCCATGTCAGGCCTCACCAGTCAGCCTAGTATGGGAGCCCTCGTTGCTTCGTTGCAGGGAACGCCACTCGATACCAGTAAGTCTTTGTTGGCGAACAGACTGAGGACGCATGACCGGGGCCCAAATCTGCTATTTTACCTAACCTAAACTTACTTAAATTATTATGCATAGAACTATAACTTTCTAAATCTGTGAAGGAAGTGACTATCAGTGTTATTTATAAAAACTGGTTGAAAAGGACCTCGGTGTCCAATCCTTAGCACGGTGGGCGCTGGATGAGGAGGTCCCTAGGTCGATTCCCGGGACAACCAATTTGGGACATGAACTTTTCTAAATTGGGTCTGGTCTAAGTGTTCTGAATCAATGCTTTGCTCTGGTACTCATGAGGCATCTCTTAAAGCTAGGAAACTGGTATGGCTGTCTAGTATATTATCATTGAATTAAAAACTTTTAGGAAATTATTTGAAACAAACCCATTGCTTTCCACAGAGATCCCGTTAACAACTGTATCAGAGTACTCTGCGTACTGGGAACAAGCGCGCACATTGTACGGTCCCTTCGAATGCACGGCTACGATGAAATCTGGCAATGCCGACGTGTACCTAAACGAAATACCCGGAGGACAGTATACTAACCTGCAGTTCCAGGCCTTCTCTCTTGGACTTGGAAGCCAATTCGAAGAAGTGAAGAAGGCATACAGGTAAAACTTTTCATTTATATTCAAATAGTTCTAATTTGTTTTGGCTATGAACTTAAAATCAGCCTCCTGGTAGTAGTGTGCCTCATATGTAAGGTTCTGTAATATGGGTAACAGAAAATGTTACATGTGAACTTATTAGACGCCTTTTGAATCCAGGTGGTTTTAAAAGGCGTTTGAAAACAGGAGAGAAACGTTAACCTCTAACTGACCTTTAGAGCACCTCCCAACTATCTATAATAGTTTCCAAGCTACGCCTTTATAGGTCGGCATGCTCCATCGTAGACTTCATTGTCACTTTCTATCAAATGCGCAATTATTTTTTAATTAAAAAAAAAACAATTCCCGTAGAAATCGTCTAGGTTCTACTCTGTATACATACAACTAGTGAGTTTTGTAATTCCACGAATATTTGAGTTTTTTTTTTTATTATTAAAAAGTTGTAATTATTTGTACCTCAACACGCATGGTATATTTTTTATACAATATGCGGATTTTTTCACCTTATCGGAAATTTTTAACAGTCCGTAAGACCTTGTAGCTTTATTTCAGTAATATTTAAGATTGGTTTTATGTTTTACATATTCTCTATACCAATATCTCTACATTTTCAGAGAAGCAAATCTTCTACTCGGAGACATAATCAAGGTGACGCCCTCTTCGAAAGTAGTGGGCGATCTAGCTCAATTCATGGTGCAGAACAAACTGACAGCTAAGGATATCGAAGCCAAGGCCGAGGAGCTCTCGTTTCCGAAATCTGTCGTGGAATACCTGCAGGGTGCTATTGGCATTCCTCATGGTGGTTTCCCCGAACCTTTGAGGTAAAGTGATAAATTGTCTAACCATGCGTAATTATTAATCATCATTCCCAATGTGGGCCTCAGGTCTGCTAAGTGCTAATTTTCTTAAAAACCACTAATCATCGTAATTCTATTGAGACTTCACTAACAATGTTGAAAATTATGATAATGTTGGATATTCTACTAAAATATAGTTGAATGGCAATGATGGCATTCATTCATTCAATCACTAACGATTGATGTTGCCTTACTAAATACGATAGCAATTACTATGGTTACCTATCAGAAGTCCGAAATAACATTTTCCAGAAATAACCTTTGCTCGAATTTTCATAACCTCGAAAATAATTTTCAAATTGGGGAAAATGTTGTTTCTTTTAACTTAACCTAACCTAACCGAACCTGATCGTGTCTTTGAGATAAACATCCAACGTATCCTTAAAGAACAACGGTTTCGTTATCATTCGTTAATTCGTAACGTCGTTTTCGGGGTAATGAAAATTCGATTTCGGAAAAAATAAATTCGGGCTTGTGATCGGTTACCCAATTACTATGCATATTTAAATTAAGATAATTTTGATCTCGTTTAATCAGCAATTTCGTCTTCAAATTAAATGCATTTTTTTTAATATCAAATAAATTTGTAGACAACAATCGACCTGGAGTTCTACTCTGATTCTCCGTCCGTCCGTTCCCGAATCCATTAACTCAACGTCAACTAAGTAATACCCGACCAAATTGAAAGACGCGTGACGCGAATGAATTTTCAAACTTGACATCATGATTTGGTCAGATATTACTTATTCACCAGTAATTGTTTCGGACGGAGGGATCTCGCCATTGAAAAGCAGAATACAAAAAAACACAATGCCAGTCGAATAATAGCTCGATGGCTAGCCACTACCAAACCACTAATATTTTAGCAAGTAAATTAATTAGTAACTAATACTTTATTGTATACTGATCACACACAATAATCAACTTAAATTTTTTTTCTTTCTCTTTTGTTTTATAATTTATTGTTTGTTTTAAGGTTGTAATTTATTATTTGAATGCTCCGTAAGTACATACTTGATACACTTCATACACATTATGCTTCGTGTACACAGCCCACTAACTTGCACAGACAACAATCTTTTTCTTTTCACATTTTAATATTCCGCGTAACCTTTTGGGAGGTAGCTGAAAAACAGCGCGTCGTTTTTGCGACGGTTTTGCGCTGAGCTGCGTCCTATGCGCCACGGCAGCACACATGATACATTTTTCTATTATAAGTTGACTTGATTTTTGTATTTGTTGTTTATATAATCCTGTTTTTGTTCGTTTTAAGTATTTACTTCATTGTTTGGTCTGTCTTTGTATTTCGTGTAATGTGTGTGCTTTGTTGGCAAATAAACTATCTATCTATCACTACCTTAACTTTAAGCAGAATACCAAACGCACAAAATCCTGCCATTGACATTCCATCGCACAACTGACGATTTAAAATTAGTAGACTTGTATCCCTGTATTGTGACGTTCAAACAATGCTATATAATATAAAAACAACCTTTTTAACAGATCTAAAGTGCTGAAGGATATGAAGAGAATAGAAGGACGCCCAGGCCAGGAATTGCCACCTTTGGACTTTGAGAAATTGAAGAAAGACCTTTCAGAAACCTATCCAAGTGTAAGTAAACCATCATACGTGTATAAGTATACAGTGTGTTTTTTTAATGTGTGTTGTGGGGAAATCCGAAACTATAGGAGCTACACCGAAACTGTCTCAGGAGCCATGAAGTCTTTTGTGAAAACAGCAGTTGGTCAAATTTAATATAATGTTTTTTCATATAAAATCGACTAAGTTTTAACTGTAATGCTGATAAACTTAGTATCTTATAAAGACAATTTCATTGTATAGGAACAAAAAATTGGGACAGCAGAAGTTGGCCAAATTTAATAGAATGTTTTTTCATACAAAATTAATAAAATTCAAACTTAATAATAAAAAAAAAATTTTTAATACTTTGGACTCAGTTTCTTATAGGGATAACTTCATTATATAGGAAGGAAAAAATTGGGACAGAACTTGGTCAAATTGAATAAAATGTTTTTAATTTTGTATGAAAAAACTTTTTATAAATTTGACCAAATTCTGCTGTTCCGATTTTTTCTTTTAATACAATAAAATTATTGTTCTTAAAAAGAAGTGAGTAAGTTTTTTCGGTAAACGTGAATTCGCGAGGAAGAAATATGGTGAACTGTCTCCATGTTTCGTAAATTATTATAAAGCTTTCACCTTACGCTAAATATCGGATCCTAGATGTCAGGATCATGTTTCTGATGATTTGGATTTATTTTTCTAGGTCACCGACCAAGACGTGATGTCGGCTGCGATGTACCCACAAGTCGCAAACGACTTCTTCAGGATCCGCGACAAATACGGACCTGTCAAGCATTTGGATACAAAGACCTTCCTCGTTGGACCCACGGTAGTCACGTTTTATTTTGATAATTGTACCATATAAAAACGCTTGTAATGTGGTAATTGTTGAGTGTCTGTATTTCATAAAAAAAGAACGATTTATATGAACGAAGTAATTATTATTGACACAAAATTTGAACAGACACAAAGAAAAATATTAACCTAACCTAACCAGTGTCTATTGCCACCGGGGTCACCGGTGTAGCAACATAGAAACATCACGTTATTTCTATAAAACAAATATTATTTCATTATCATTTATCTATCACAAATGGCGCTACGGCAAAAAAATCCGTTAAAAGATCTGTAACAAGCACATCAAATTTCGTAAGATCTGCTGACTCGATCTGTAGCTCAGTTGATAGAGCGGTCGCCCTGTTATGGCACAGATGCAGGTTCAAGTCCTGTAAGATTGAAAGAATTTTTCTTTGTATTCGATCTTTGTACTAATAATTATAAGAAAGTATAAAATAGTGTAGTAATTTGTTTATTTTATTTTATTTAGTCATTTAATTCAGGCCACTTAACTCTTATATTAAACACCTTAAGGACTAACATATATACAATATGATATAGCAATATAATAAACTAAATTACTCATCTACATGAATTGCACTTGTCGGCAACGTGTGGCGCAATCTGGTGTCAGGTAACCGGTCGCAGAATCGCCCGCCGATATAAAACACCCTTCGGGCAAAAATCTTTCATGAACTATATTTCACAAAAAATAAATGAATGAAATATGAAATGAAATATACATTTATTGATACAAAAGCAGGTACATATACATCGGTGCCTTGGGAGACAGTTCCTTCCCAATCAATGTTCATAATTTATCTATTGATGGTAACAATTATAGGACGTAACTGTTAATACCATAATATTAGTATTTTATCATTATTATTAGAATATCATAGTAGTGAAACATCATAATATTCATTATAATTAATTCGTCACTAAGTCAAACTATTGTAAGAAAGATTGTCTTCGCACCGTGATTTAGAGCTGTTACACACGGCGAATTTTATCAGCGATGCAAACGCGATGCAGTCGCTAGTCGTCTACTTTTACACACACGCGCGACTTTAAGCAGCGATGCAAACTCGATGCAAGCGCGCGACTGGGATTTATAGGTGATTGCCGTGTGTAACCACCCTAAGATAGAAGACCAAAATATGACTACGATGAATTAACCGACGCTTACAGGTGGGAGAAACGATCGAAGTGCATCTCGAGAGAGGCAAGACTCTCGACATCAAGACGTTGGCTGTGTCCGACGAGATGACAGCGGCGGGCGAGCGCGAGGTCTTCTTCGAACTCAATGGACAGCTCAGATCCGTGTTCATTAGGGATGAGAATGCTAGCAAGGTAAAGTTTCTTATAATAATAATAATGATTTATTTCAGACACTTAGTCCATAATGTTTAGTAATAATCTCTTAAAAACGAATGTTAATTTTTATTTTAAAAGGCGAGGTACAGGCACGCATGCGCCCACACCCATCACTCCATCATGGGACTGTCCCACCTGTCCGCAATGATGTTCAGGATCCCGTTCGAGCTGGCGCGTGGTCTGCTTAGAATCGAAGCGCATTTGTTTCGCATGGAAACCATTTGTTCGCGCATTTGTACAAAACTAGCTAAACTGCCTCCGGTGCGGAACGATTACCATGCTGCACTGCCACGCTGAGGTGCCGGGTTCGATTCCCGGACCGGGAGAAATATTTGTATGGCCTACATTTATTTCTCTCGTGAGTTTGGGTGTGATTTGTAGTTGTCTATGTGTGTGTTCATGGCACCCGCGATACAGGGTTTCCCTAGTGCGGGGCTATGAGTGTATGCATTAAAAAAATAATAAAACAAGAAACGTGGCAACCCCAATAAGACCCTAAAAGCATTATTATATTGTATACGTAGAGAGTTGTAAGCCTCCTGAGAATGTAAAAAGTGTAAAATGATTGACAATATGTTGTAAACAGCGTTACTTTTACTTCCATCGCACATTGAGCGAACCTACGGACCAATATGTTGCACCTGACTGACAACGCTCTATGTTCTCGTTCTATATCTAAATTGTCTCTTATAGACATGGATAAACACTTTTAATAGTATGTGCATAGTTATATAGTTTCATTAAATTAAAAATAATTTCGAATTTGTCAACAAATAACTATTTTGTCACATAATTCAGCTTTGACCTTTTAGAAATATACCCAAGCGTCACATATAATAAATAATATATTTCATTTCGTACTACAGGAAATGAAGATACACCCTAAAGCCGTGAAGGGAGATAAAAATCAAGTTGGAGCACCGATGCCAGGAACAGTGCTTAGTAAGTTAACCATTGTATAATAAGCTATGTAATGCCTTTTGATTTTTACTCATCTTCGTCTATTTAGGAGTCCTAACAAGGGAATGTTTTAAACCTGTGTAATATATATACGCAGGTACGTATTTTTAGCAGCATGAGGCAGAAATATAAGATTCAGTATTGAAGGATTCGCACCATGGTCTAACCCATGGTCCGAGATACTGAAATATAGGAAAATTAATTAACAATGCTTTCTAAGTTTTAATCCGCTTTTTACGTGGTCCGTTTTCCGGAGAAGAGTTAATGTAGTAACAATACTAATGTGCTAGACAACCACACAATTGCTTGGTCTCAAACTAAGGAATTCCTGTACTATGAGTACCAGGGTAACGAATTTCCCTCCGAAGCACTACCCGGATCACCCAGACCAGAACCAATTAAGAAAAGCTCATTCCCAAATTGGTCCTACCGGGAGTCGAACCCGAGACCTACGTATCCAGGCGCCTTTTCGGCCACTGAGGTCATCAAAACGTCAAAAGTTGACGTTGAAGTTGAAAGTCTTGATCGTGTAATTTTTAGACATGGCTTTCAAAGTCCTTTTCTTTCAGCAATCAAAGTGAAAGAAGGCGATAAAGTGGAGAAGGGTCACCCAATAGCAGTGCTGTCAGCCATGAAGATGGAAATGATCGTGCAAGCTCCGAAAGCGGGCGTCATCCAAAGCGTCGTCATCACCAATGGACAGAAACTCGAGGGCGATGACCTTATTTGCACTATTGAGTAAAGACTTTAGTTAGTACCAAGGACAACACTGATAGTTTTTCAAATTGCCGCAATATAGAAAAGTTCATTAAGATAATTTTCGTACTTTAGTGTATAACCGTGCAATAGTATTTTCTTTCGTTGTTTGAAATGTTTTACACAGACGTTTTATTTATTCGTTGTAATTATGTCTTTATATTTTAGGCAAATTACTATGGGGAAAAATGATTAACTGCAGCCGTGGAATCACAAATAAATTATTAGAGTGAGGGATGTCAATCGTTATAATGAGGTGATTTTATTATTGTAGTTAAGATTGTCGTTGAACACGAGCGCGTAAATGTTATAAAATAATTTATATAACATGATCTAGGCAATTAGTGTTGTGATAAAAAATGTGTACTTATGAAATGTTTCTTCAATGTGTTCAATTTAAAAGTCTATACTTTTTTTTCATTTGGACGATATTTTTTATCGTGTACCTTTAATCAACATGAGAAAAATAATGTTACCGTATTTAGCCTTGAAATAATAACATAACATGCCTGCCCCAAAACATGAAAATAAAAAATGTATATCACACTGAGATCGTGTAACGTGTATCTTAGATGGAGGTAAGCAACGTTGAAATTATATAGGTTGAATTCAAATCGTAACACTTTTAAAATGTTTTCATTGTTATATAAATTAGAATTGTAAATATCTTTATAAAATTCGTCCAATTACGAATTTAAAGAAATTTAAAAGTCATCACATTTAAAAAATATATGCAGGATAACTTTAATCACCATCCAAATTTTAATAATATTAAGACTCCAAAGTCATAATATTAAAATAAAATAATTTTTTTTGGGGAAAAGTAAAATACGTTGTTTATTTTTCTTTTAGAATCACTCAGTACTCAATATATTTTAGATATGGCATCACAAAGTTGGATAACCAAAAAGACGACTTACCCCTAAAAAGACGACTGACCCCTAAAAAGACGACTTACCCCTAAAAAAACCACTCAGTGTCGTTATGTATCTTTAGGGTTCACAAACACTTAAGAATTCTTCATCGATCTCCGCTGGTAGTCTTGGCCTATCACGTCCTTGAGCGTATGAAGGCGTCATAAATTGGCCGTAGTCTTTGATTGGTAACTCTCTGGGCTCCGTTTCGATCCACCACTTAAAATGTAAGTCGTATTACCATCTCACACTTACCATCAATAGTACTCGCATTTTTATTGCACCCTCGGCTCGTGATATCCCTGCACCTCACCTTCGCCCCGTTTTTTCAAATGAACTCACGAATGTCAAGCGTAGAGCCATTGTCTGGTAGAGTAGGTTGCCCAAGCATTGTTAAAAACTATTTTGGAATAATTTCAGTACAGTACTCAAAAAATCGCGGAAAGTACGCGAAACCAGATTCATCCCCTAGTTAGCCACCCTTAGAAGTGGAATATTTTCTTCAAATTGAAATAGGACCACTACTGAGGTACCCTCTTTTCAACAAAAAAGAATCGTCACAATTGATTCGGAGTTATGCGTAAAATACATACAAAAATAAACGTACAGTCGAATTCAGAACCTCCTCCTTTTTTGAAAGTCTGTTAAAAATATTTTATTGTACAGTCGGTGCCCTCACTTATGTATCCACTGTTTGTACTAAGTTCTATACAAATAGTGGAAGGGAGGGAACCGCCTGTACCTAACCTATATTTAATGCCTAGTAATAATTTGGATCGTGACTAAATAGTCCTTGTATATATGTTTTAGTTCTATAGTTTTTACCGTGTATTTCGAAATGTTGCATAACATTTGTTGACATAAAGAAACTGTGATATAATATTCACTATACATTTTTATAGTGTCATTTCGTGAGTCAGTGTAAATTTATACCATCACAGTACAAATAATCGTAAAAGTTATTTACTGTAGTGCATAGAAGTAAGAGTTTTACTAAAAATGTAATAATGACAGCAAGGTAAAAGAGGTTATCGACTAAAACGTATCCTTAAATGAAAGGGCTGTAAATTAGTAGAAATGCATATTTTGGTTCGAACCAGTAATTTGGTAGAATACTTTTTTTAATATCAATCAACGTTTTTGCATATAACCATTTTACTTTGCTACCTTTGATATGAGATACCTTATAGTTAGTCATTCCAAAAGGTGCGATTGGTATGATGTGAAGTTTTTAGTAATAAAGACATTGTTTGGAGATAATTGTGTTATTGGAACTTGTGTTTTTTTTTTTGCAAAGTTTTTTCTGATCGTTGGTGCTCATTTTTTTGTTATTTTTATTCGTCTTTTAATTTTATTGTTAATTGCAGTGTTTTTGAATTTTTTTATCCATTAAATTAAATTTATTACAACTATTTCATTATTTTTATTCTACCGAGTTTTGCCTTTATGTTGTTTATCGAATAGCATATACAAAGGGATAATAGGGAAATGTGAAATGAAAACAAATTTTAAAATAATATATATATATAAAGTATAAAAAATACACTTGTTTCCGTTACTTTTACATTTTAGTAAGCGAACTCAGACGTTGCGTCATAGTTACACTACTGGGACTGACAAAACAGTAGCAGTTCTATAATCAAGGTTTTTTTATAATACCCAAGTGACAGGACGAACAAGTCTTGCACCTAGTGGTAAACGACACACCTGTCCATCCATAGCAGTTACAATGCCACTCGGAGCGTTTAATCGCAAAGAACTAAGCCTCGATGTATATTGCAGTGGAATGCAATGGAAGCGAATTTTCGTAACGATATTGTACAAATAGAGTAATGAACTTTATGGTCAATTGTGTAACGTACAAACTAGGTACGAGCCAAAAGTCACGTCGCGCGTCTTTCGCGGTATTCTCGGCGTCTCTCTGACGTCGGCAACACCTGGCGAATCCGCGGGAATTGGCGCGAAATCAGGCATAGTGTGACGTCAAACGTCAACGAAATGCTACAGACTCGAGGCGCAGTCGCCAGAAAATTCGCAAATGCCCGGGTATACCCGCCTTCTCGCGCAGCGAGGCGAATTTCTCGCTTCCGTTCCACTGCCACTCTAAGACATGAGTTGACAAGTTCTAGTGCCTGTAATTTCTCCAGCATTCAAAACCGGTACACGATAATGGTCACATTACTGCGTGGTGGCAGAAATATGTAAGGTGGCTGTACTTCCCTGGACGAACTCTTTTACAAGGCGGTCTACTGGCTGATGATCAAAATAGTGCAGAGAGACGCTTTCGCGAAAGGTCATGATAGGGTTTCTTTTCCTCTTGGCAGTACCTAATGATCTTGTGCGGTGCCTTCTTTTACGATTTTACCAGTAGCCTTCGGGTTATGTACTCGATGCCTGTGGCAGCCATAAAGTTTAAGAAAGAAAGTCTATTCGTTGGTCAAAGAAACGATTTAAATTTAGAAAATTTTGATAGACGTCTACGTGACTGAACTTGTCCAGCAATGGTTTGGTAACAATATTATTAGTGTTTTAATACAACTTGTTCAGTGAAATAAGGCATAAATTTGGTACTATGTACGTATCTCTGGAATTTTAAGTACACAATCAAATGTATCTACAGAAATTGTTTTATAGAGAAGGTACGCGAAAGGTACTGTAACAATTTGTTACTGTTTAGAATACAAACGGCGTACACAATAAATAACACCGCTTCAACTATTCTGTACGAGAAGTCCGCAGTGTAAATGAGTTTTACTAACAAAAAGAGGCGTGACAGAGTGTGCTTCAACGCTGACAATACATTTATTTCAGGATTTACTTATTAGTAAATAAATTAAGCGTGCTCTACTCTAACGTTATTCCAATTAAATTTTTAAAATTTGGCTAGTCATTAAAAAATTTTAAATTTTTATTGAATTGATATTCAATTATTTTTTGTGAAACTACTCCACTAGTTTGTTGTAATCATTAATACAAAGATCTTCTTTCATAATATAATATAAAATTTTTCTGAGTGTTCGATATTTGTATTAACGATTACAACAAACTAGTGGAGTAATTTCACAAAAAATAATTGAATATCAATTCAATAAAAATTTAAAATACAGTGAATAGCGACATGTCTCGCCAGGACTAGTAGCTGTAAAGGTACTAACTGGGTGATAAATCTTTAATAGATTTCTCATAGATGGCGCTACGACAAAAATAGTCGTTGAAAAACCAAATACAAAGACACGACGCAAGCACATAGAAAAATTCGTTGGGTCCGCTGGTTCGTTCCGTGGCTTAGCTGGTATAGCGTCTGGCACGGTATGCAAGAAGACGTCGGTTCGAATCCGATCTGATCTTAGGAATTTTTTCTGAGTGTTCGATCTTTGTATTAATGATTACAACATTAAAAAATTATTAAAAAGCTTCTAATCTTAAAAAAGTAAATAAATTAATCGTTCTTTAATTACCTACTTGTATCGAAAACTTAAAATCATGAAGTCATTAAGTTACTATGTATTTAACAACTGTGAGAATAATTCTGTTAGTGTAGAGGCTTCTAAATAAAGGAGCAACTTACATAAATCACGACAATTTCGAGGTGCAATCCGATTCAATTAGTTTGCAATCAGATTCAAGATACTATGGTTCTCGGTATAAAAAAATGGTGCCGCTGGAATAAGGTCATCTCAGCATGAACATGACGACTAAATTAAGTTTTTTGCGAACCAACTACATCGCAGTGTTTTTTTAGCGTACTCAGATCTAAACTAGATGCTGACCATAGCTCCTATTACGTTATCCGTTAGGTATATATAAGTACATAGTAAATACACCTCGGGATAAAAATGAAAGTAAATGTACATTTTTCTGCCTTGAGAACCGATTAAATGACGACTTTTTGCCTAACTAGTTAGATTTAGTAATATCTCGATTATGGTGTAAAGTGCACATAAAATAGAGTGTTACAAAGTTTACAATAATTCTTGAAAACCGGAAAATTATGGGAAATACTGCAGGCATCGTATAATGTGACAAGTAGGGTAACTTCATAAAAAACAGAGTGGCTTGTATGATGTACACCCGCCGCGCGCCGCGCGCTTTGTATAGACGCACACATTCATATATTCCGTATGGTGTTTTTATGGTTATCTGAACAGCCTCAAATTCAGAATTATTCAGCATTACATTTGTATTACGTATTATCATTTTCCCATAATCGCGACACTGCCTGGTATAAAATATTAATATAAAATTTGTCACATGCTACGACAAATTTTATAAAAAAATTTTTGTAAAAGTTCCTTCAGTATTATAGCACGAGAATATGGAGATGGACGTCTTCATTTTTGAAAACCTGTAGGGCTAGCACGATAGAGTGCGACTACCTCGAGAGTGACATAGAAGCGCGAGATATTGCTATTATCTATGAGAGTATAGTATGTAGTATCTCGCGCTTTATGTCGCGCCCTATCATGCTAGCCCTACTATAGGTACAATTTAAAATAATAATGTAGATAAAATAATACTGTAGATATCTCAAAAGGAAGAATGTGCGAGAATCCGGTCTGACGCGAGCTTGTTTTTGAATATAAATTTGTGTGGACATGGATTGAATTTTTTGTTGTTTCAGATAAAATACTACAAAACTTCAAATTATTTGTATTATATTTACACATTTATCAATAAATAAAATAATGCAAATAATATTGCAAAAAATTGCGCGTAGTACGAAGTTTGTATGCTTAAGGGTGATATAAACAGCATGTGGAATGCATCCATCCGTTTGGTTCAGAAAACGCTTGGGTCACGGGTCACGTGGCCTCGGCGGTGCAATGGGCCCTTTAACAGAAATCGTCACGCTACTGCGGTAAGTAGAAAAGGACAAACGAATGACTGTTCATAGTCACCTATTGGATTTATTTGTAGTTAATGCCATTATGAAAATTTATACTCGTGTTCGCTCACTCACAACATGAAGTAAACAATTGGATAGTCATTCGTGTGCCTCCGCAACATTTCGTACCCTTGATAAAGTTAAGCCATAGATATGTAATCATACGTCAAAAATGCTTTCTATTCCATGAAATCATAAACATAACACAAAGTAAGTACATAAAACAAATTATGTATATGAGAGGTATAAAATTGACCTCTTCGTATTTAATTCGAATCACGCACCGGAAGGAGAAGCGCGACAGACTTTTTTGCTAGATGAAATGTTTTAGGTATGTAATGTATGTAAACACGTTTACTATACAATAAAACAAATTTTTAAGAAAGAAATAAAACGTTATTGTACAAAGGCGAGCTTATCCCATACAGGGTTTTCTTTCAGCATACCTTTGAATAATTGAAAGGAAAGTTGGCTCCTGAGTCGGCAATAAAATGTAAAAAAAATCAAATCTTTAAATTTAATGGCACATACTAAATAATTACAACAATAAATGTATTTTATCAAATGCAGACGAATTTTAAGTAAATGATCATAATACTAATAATAAAAAATATATAGCAAAATAAATGTATAAAATAAGACTATAAATAATTTAAACAAAAATTTTATAAGCTCTAACATAAGGAGTCCGAATAATTCCAAAAGAGCAACCCTGGCCGTAACCGGAGGTGACTGTCTGACCTGGGCTGGAAGGAGGTTCCACATACTAGCAGCATTCACTGTGAACGATTCAGAATATTTTTGCGAACTGTGTTGTGGAATGACAAGGGACAAATTAGTACCTGGTATTTACTAATACATAACGGTCTTACAAAAAATATATTCCATACACATTTAATATGTTGTCTAATAATATCAATACAGAGTACTCAAAAAACCGACCTCAAAAGTTCGTGGAATTACATCTATTTGACAAGTTTTATTGAAATCGGTTATCGGAAAGTACGCGAAACCGGATTCATACGCTAGTTTACCACCCTTAGAGGTGGAATATTTTCTTCAAAATTCAAATGGGACTACTACTGATGTTACCCGCTTTCCAACAAAAAAAAAGAATCATCAGAATCGGTTAACGGCCGGAGTTATCGCGTAACATGCATACAAAAAAAGATGCAGTCGAATTGAGAACCTCCTCCTTTTTTGAAGTCGGTTAAAAATGCGCTAATTTGTTTCACGGTAGGGTGTGCTTTATCCTGTCATATAAAATGTTGAAAACAGGCTAAAATAAAAGTCAAAAACGAATTATTTAAAAATTAAATATATAATTTTGCATATAATTTTTATAAGGGGATATTATTTCTCTTTATGTTCTATAGAGAACTTGCTAAGTTTTGGTTTTCAACTGAAGCCCTATAGTTATTAAATTCGCACTTATCCCAAAACTTTAAAATTGCCATTGCCGATTAAACGACATGCCGCGTCGCCTGCTGCCCCGTCAGTCGCCATCGGGCGATTGTGTGTCAAATTTTCTCCGCCTGTTATTAATTTTTTGCACGCGGATTGCGGCACTATCATAACAAGTTGTAATTGCGGATGTGATCTTATTACACTCATCCTTATTTTTATTGCACAGTTATCTATAAAAATCCTTTGCTGTTTATGAATTGTATTTTTCAGGGCTCGCGTTCATTCAAACATCAACCTATAAAGAGCGTATTAGTGGCGAATCGGGGTGAAATCGCCATTAGGGTGTTCCGAGCGTGTGCTGAGCTGGGTATCCGATCCGTAGCCATTTATAGTGAGCAAGACCGGCTGATGATGCACAGGTAGGTATCTACTATACTATATATATAGGTATATACTACTAATTTATTTATTTAAAATGCAAGTGACAACAATACACGTAAGTTAGTAGCACTTAGTCGCTACTTTCACACATTACAAAATATAATAATAGAATAGAATAGAATATAGAATATAGAAATAACATGTCAATTATCCATCATCAGTCTTCGTCAAATACATAAAATAACATAACAACACAATTTAATCAAACAACTAAGTAAATCAATATAAAATTCATAGAAATATTTGTATGGTCTACATTATTTCTCTCATGAGTTTGGGTGTAATTTGTGGTTGTCTAAGTGTGTGTCAATGGCACTCGTGACACAGGGTTTTCCTAGTGCGGGGCTATGTTAAGTGTGTACGTTAAGAAAAAGATCATGAACAACCATTTTTGTTCCTCCTCCTGTCTTTTGTTACCGCACAGAGTTATCACCGTTTAAAGCGATTTAAATATTTTTTATTTTTGTTTGAAAGCAATATCTGATTGATCAAAATTTGTTATATTATGAATCAAGTAATGTAGTCTTGCGAGGTTGTTAACATTTTACAAATAGCCCTGTATAATCATTTTATTTTCCGTTCTAGACGGAAAGCCACCGAGTCATATTTGATTGGCAAGGGCATGACACCGATCGAGGCATACCTCAGTATTCCGGAGATTATTCGTGTGGCTAAACAGAATGATGTCGACGCAGTTCACCCGGGATATGGATTACTTTCAGAGCGGTAAGATTTATTTAACACTCTCAGCCGCAATGGGCCGCCGGCGTACCACAATTAGGATCAAAATTTATTTTCGATTTTTTAGTCCTGACCAGTCAAAAGTAAGGCATCAGCAGGCCGACAACATAAGTTGTGTGTCCGGCGAGCTCAGCCAATAGTTTGGCTCTCTGCTAACAACTGATAGAGATCGTAATCAAGCATCGATCTCGGCCCTAGTGGTGACAACCGCCTGTTTTTGGTGGAATCAGGACGTAATGCGCGGCCCGCTGGTAAAGTTTGAAGGTGTCCCGCCAGCAGCCCACATGGCCCACTACAAAAGTTACTCGAGATGAGGCGTGGCGTGCTGTGAAAAAAAATGTGGGTCCCGCGCGCCGCCTACGTGCCTTGCTACAAAAGTTCCGTAAGATTAGCATGGCGTCTTGTGAAAAGAAAATGCGTATACCACGCGCCATCCACATGGTCTGCTGCTTCAGAAAAATCGTTTGTTCTATGGGGCTGAGAGTGTTAAGGTGCTATTTGCGCAAGTCACGAAAGAAATTACGGTGCGATTATAATTGTGACTCAAGTTAAATGCCTACAAAATTACTCAGTAATCTTATACTAACACCGATTGACATTTTGACGATCATGATAGTCCAGCGGTTAATTAACGAAGCGATGAATTAGATACGCATTTCCTGGTACCGTATAAGTTTAAGAGGGAGCAGAGGAAAAATTCCTAATCTTCGATTTGATTTTAGAGGGGTATATACACTTTAAAGTTAAAAATAAAATATTGTATGAGTAACTACACCAATTCAAGCATAGCATTAATCAGAAACATAAAACAACAAAGTTTCCTCGATAGATAAAAATCACGAAATGACCTCTAATTTTCACATTTTTTCGATTTATCCTCGAAATGCTACAGGTTATTAGGATAAAAATTAGATAATTAATTATATTTATTAGTCGATCATGCGACAACTGTCACTACGGTTTTTTTTTAATCCCTTTAGTTTTAGAGTTATTCCGCTAAAACGAATTTGGTACTTTTATTGCGCAAAATTCAACATCTCCTGTCGCATGTCACGCGAACTTCAGGCATATATTTGTTTCACAAATTTGGGTGGAGCCAACGTCCAAAACTTTTTTGGTATGAGAGCTCTTAAGCTATCAAAAAACCGCATTTAGTATAACGAACTAGGGGATGAATTAATGACTTTAAACGCTCATAAGTCAGCATCTCTGATTCGTCACGGCCTTTATATATTGTTGTATGTAGGCATACGGAAAGCCCATATACCTACACTTCCGGGTAGTGACCCTAAAGATAATTTATTTACTCTGTACAAAAATGTTTGTTGCTATACTATATGTATCAAACGTATACTTAAATTAGTGGCACCTCTAAGGCTGCTAACAGATGGACTGCATGTTTACAGTTAATGCGTGAAGTTTTAATCAACTTCATGCAGTCGATCTCGGCTCCATGAAGTCGGTTTCGACTTCATGTAGGTAATGCGTGAAGTCGTTATCCGAAACCTCGACTGCATGAAGTTCATAATGAATTCATTGATAAAGATATTCAATGATGTCCCGTCAATCATTAAGAACGAGAAAAACTATTTACTCCTACTTAATAAATTGAAATTATACCTAATTACTAAATGTTACTACAATTTAAGTGAATACTTTAATGAAAAAATATAATAATATTGTAACAAATTTTAATAATGAAATTCATAAATATTAAGTAAATCTTGAATTATGTTATATTATATATTCATATTATTGTAATTTCATTTAATTGGAATTGTCTCAGTGACATGCTTTTTATTATACATATATTGATAGTGAACAGTGACTGTTCTAATCTAAGCCTCGGCCTGCCTCTGTTCTTGTTGTTATCCCTAAGACAGGGCTCATATGTGTAACATTATTTTAATTTTAAGATCTTATGTACCATGTGCACCCAATACTCAAATATTAACTATTGATAACGACATCACGCACTAACTGCATGCAGACGATCTCGGTTGCGTGAAGTGGGTTTCGACTGCATGCAGTTAAAATACATGAAGTCGTTATCCGAGACCTCGACTGCATGAAGTTGGTTTCAACTTGGACGGACGGACGGATGGACTGCATGCAGATAATGAGTGAAGTTGATTACGATTTCACGTATTAACTGTAAACATGCAGTCAGTCTATTAGCAGTCTAATAGCTGTACGTCATGGCGGCAGGTAGTATCCCATATTTCATTGAAGCATTCATTTGTGCGAAAAAGTTTGACCTTGTACTAAAATAAAATTCCGCTGCGCAAAAAGAAAACTGTAACGCAGAATGCGTGAAATAGAAATAACTACCTGTCAATTGTAGCGTAATTGATTCAATATAATTCTTGCTTCTCAGGGCAGACTTCGCCCAAGCAGTAATAGATGCGGGGATGCGTTTCATCGGTCCTTCGCCAAAAGTTATGCAGCAGATGGGGGATAAAGTTGCCGCCAGGAAGGCGGCTATAGACGCTAGTAATTAAACCTTATTTCAATTATGAATTAATAGGTTTGGCCTCTCACACTTTTTTCATGATATCAAATGACGGGACGATAAAGTAGTGCGCCCGGTGGTAAAGGACAAGCCCATCCATAACAGGTGCAATGCCGCTCAGAGCGTTGAGTTGTAAAAATCTGAAGGGCCCCTGCGCTCGTCACCCTCGAGATCAGGCTGAGATATACCTAAAGTTGACAAGCCTCATGTGCCTGTAGTTTCACCAGCACTCAACGCAGTAATGCTCACATTACTGCTTGCCCGCAGAAATAGGTACCTATGGTGGCAATACTTCCCTTTTTTTTTTACGTGGGGAAATCCTCATGGATGTCTCTTTGCTGCGGGGGCAACAGAGACTCCTACCGACTAAAACCCCATGGTGTTCCGTCCCTGCACCTTTTGCCGCGACTACGGGAACGCTTTCGCACTCTTCCGCGGTCCCGACGGCGCTGGCCTTCGGCCGAGGGCCCCTTCCCTGGCAATTCTAAAACTTCGTCGTGTTTGTGGATTTCCTGGAAGAACCTTTCTGATTTTTTAGGAGCACGCTGAATTTACTATACGTCGAGTATCGCGAATTTATTGGGCATAGAGATTTCAGGGGATCTCGTATATTATGCCATTGAACTGTTTCGATCGCTGATATAAAATTAAATTGTTTTTTTTTTAACGTTATCACAGATGGGCCTTATTTTGCGTTTAATTTTTTTTGCGTTTTCCCAATGTGTTGAAGAAATATGGTTAATTGGTTTTATTATAAGGTCTAATTGTCTAGAAGTCTGGTTTGTATCATAATATGTTTGGATTTGCTTCATACTACCACAAAATAGTATTTAATATTAAACTCTTCAATATTTTCATACTATGGTAATTAGAAAACCTACGGCAATTTATCCTACGGTACTTAGAACACGGACCATTTCCTTAAAAATTTCAAAAACTGGAAGAAATGGAAAATACTACAGTATTGTAATACATAAAAGTCTCTTAGCTCTTTTATTTCAATAAGCGACAACACGTTTCTTTGAAAAACGTAATTTATAAATAGGTATTTAGAAACGGGAATTACAAAATTTTATAACCAAAGTTACAGTAATTAGATATTTATGTAAACTGCGAGCGGACACGTCGACACTGGTACATTCGCACTATTCGAGTGCCAAGACACGGCTGATAGCTCGCGATTCAGGCAATAGTGAATTTCAAACATTTTAGCAGGACGGATGACGAAACCTGAGACGACAATCCGGTCGAGGAAAAGGTAGAGACAACAATTTCATTATTTATTATTACAATCTATGAAAAACATTAGTTTCTAATTAACTTCGTTAATTTCAGAAGTACCAGTAGTTCCGGGCACAGATGGTCCGGTGACGACCAAAAAAGAAGCTCATGATTTTTGCAAAGAACACGGTTTACCGGTTATTTTAAAGGTTATAATTTATTTGCAAAGCCATCTCCTCTTGTCATCTGTGCGTCGGTGCATTTAATCTCCCACATTAACCACCCGTTTCATCATTTAAAACGTCTAACTTAGTATTTTTTTTTTACAATACCAATTGACAGGACGAACAAGTCGTACGCTTGGTGGTAAGTGACACGCTCCGTAATAGTTGCGGTGCCACTCAGAGCTTTAAATCGCAAAGATCTTATGGGCACGACGAAATCTTTTCCAAGGAGGTCTACAGCTACTAAAAAGAATGATCATCATTGATGTTTGGTCATGTGAAGAAAATAGAGAATAGATTGCAAACTTGACTGCTTTTAAATTTAGTTTACAATCTTCATAGACTTATATAGCTAATTATAAAGTTCGTCAGATTACTGTTAATTTTCAACGTTTCATAAAACTGATCTATTACCAAAATGAACTTATATCAAGGATAAAACCTAATAAGTTACAATGTCAATATATAACATACTAAATAAAATAAATAAAAATAAATAAACTTAAAGTAAATCACATACGTTGCTCGGATCCTAAAGTAAGTAACTAAAACACTAGTGTTATGGATATCTGTAACAACGACGGTACCATTGAAAGCTAACCTGCCTATAAATTGTCTCGGGTCTTGCCCACGAGCTCTACTGCTAATAAAGTATTAAGTAATCGCAAAATCTTCGATGTTGGTATGTATTAGAGTAGCTATCAGAATACAAAATGCAAGACGTATTTGCAGGCAGCTTACGGCGGCGGCGGTCGTGGTATGCGCATTGTCCGTGGTATAGACGAAGCAGAATCACAATTCGAAATGGCGTCATCAGAGGCGCTTCGGGCGTTCGGTAACGGAGCCATGTTCATTGAGAGATATCTTGAACGGCCGAGACATATCGAAATTCAATTAATTGGTAATGTTAGATTTAATAATATGACGTTCCAGTCTTTACAATAATATGACGTTCCAGTTAGATGATTCCGAAAAAACCATCCTCACTTGTTACATTTGGACGCCTTTTTTATGTGCGCCTGGGGTGGTAAGCGACACTCCTGTCCTTAGTTTACAGTGCCATTCTGAGCTTTAAGTCGTAAAGCTTTGAGGGGCACTGCCACTTCACCCGTCACCCTGAGACATAAGTCGACAAGTCTCATTAGCATGTATTGCATGGTACCTAAACGCTCCCATTGCCGTTTGACGGCGGCAATAGGTAAGGTGGCAGTACTTCCCTGGACGAAAGAGTTCTGAAGCTACTGCCTGACCGTAGTATCTGTGTAGTGTGTTATATTTGCTAAAAATGTATAATGCCAAATAAGTCAAGCAGGTACGCCTTCTTGAATTACTTGACCGTCATTCATTAGTGCTTTAATGCTAGGTGACAAGGCGGGCAATGTTATTCACCTGTTCGAACGAGAATGTTCTGTCCAACGACGACATCAAAAAGTTGTAGAAATAGCACCTGCACCAAATTTGGACCCTAAGGTATGTGCTTTCAAATAATCCGAAGTATTATTATTACTATAGTTATGTAATATATAGGTGCCTGTAGCATGTTTTCTAGAATACGTATAAATTGTACTTCTCCTGAACCAATTTTATAAATACACATTTACAATTTTTCACACAGAAACCTGAGGTAGTCGAAGCTTTGCACATAGAGAAAAAAATATATTCACGAATTTTAACATAAGTTGTAGAGCTGTAGTTGTTCTTATATAATGAGTATGTGGAATTGATATTTGCTTTTGATCCCAACCTGTACATATGCTTTTTGGGCTGAGAGTACCAGTACTAGTATCTCATATCCCTTTAGTATGTATATAATAACTATACTTGTTGACATAACAGGTCCGTCAGCAAATGTTCGACTACGCTGTACATTTGCTAAAATTTGTGAGCTATGAAAACGCGGGTACTGCGGAATTCCTGCTCGATAATAAAGGGAACATCTACTTCATTGAAGTTAACGCTAGGTAATTTAGATTTTAAATATTCGTGGTTATTATCTTCTTGGAAGTTTTAATTTATTATAAGGTTACAGGTTACAAAGAAAACCTCACTCGTTATTCCCAATAATTCCATGTAGGTACTCTGTGTCTATCCGTTTTCGCTGTATTTTATTTTAATTGAAATGACATCTATGTGACACTTTTTATAGTAATCGGTTAACAGAATGTGCATGAAATTCAATAAACCGTATTGATCCCCTAATTTGCCTCCTTAGAGCCGGAATATTTTGTTCAAATTTGAATGGGACCACTACTGAGGTACCCCCTATTCAACAAAAAAGGAATTATCAAAATCGGTTCACAATTGTTGAAGTAATCGCGTAACATGCACACAAAAAAATAAAGAAACATCTCTTTTTTGAAGTTGATTAAAAATTATTTTTTCCCGTTGTTACTCGTCATAATTAGTTCAACGATGAATCTTTTTAAGGTTACAAGTAGAACATACAGTCACAGAAGAAGTAACAGGTGTGGATATAGTCCAGACTCAAATAAAAGTGGCAGAAGGTGTGACGTTACCAGAATTAGGCTTAGAGCAGAAGAAAGTTGATGTACAGGGTTTCGCTATCCAGTGCCGAGTTACTACTGAAGATCCGGCGAATAATTTTCAACCCAGCACGGGAAGGATTGAGGAGTTTAAGTAAGATGAAGACCTTTGTTATTATTATGGATAGGTAAAAATGTATAAGCTATTGGCGTAGTTAATAGAAATTAAAAATTGTAAGCTTGATTTACCAAACGCAGGATTCGAAGTGATACAGGCTGCGCTTTGTTACCCCTTTGCTCGGGATTTGACTTTATCAAGATATTTTTCTTGACAATGATCATGACAATTATCTTTGTAAACATACCGTGATTATTGTATTTATAAAATTAATTGGAACATCAAAATGCTACCGCTGCCAATGTTGCGTCACTTTTTTGTATCAGAGATATAGTCAAACGTGTTAAATGTCAATCTCAAAAAGTAACCAGAAAAATCGCTTTCGCATCTCACTGTTTGTCCCTCATTTTTAGTCAAAAATTAAAGAGACAAAACTATTAATCAGCATGGATAATTAGCCTGTAATATATACCGGATAATTAGAATGAAAATTATCAAAGAACAGAAAGTAAATAACTTGATAATACTAGATAACTGGGAATAGAGCGCAGTCTAGCCACTAAATCTGAAATTTCTGTTCGACCATATACATATTAAGATTTATATTTTGCTTTATGGATATTGAAATCGAAATGTCATTAACACATTTTTTTATAATATATTTTGTATTTACAGAACTGGTGAAGGCATAGGTATCCGTCTCGACTCTTCAGGTCCTGGCCCCGGAGTTATCATCGCTCCATATTACGACTCCCTGTTGATTAAAGTAATTTAATTTGTTTAATGTAAACCAGTAGATCAGTATGAACGTAGGTACATATCCATAATCCATATATCGATTGGTCCCAAGTATAAGTACCAAATGAACAATTTGATCATTTTCACTTCTTTGTGGGAAAGTGAAAATAATCAAATTGTTAGTTTGGCCCTTATACTCGTACTTAGGACCTATCGATATATGTTAAAGCCTTAAACTCACGGTAGACTTTTTGATCTCACGCCCTTAATAATGCACTGACAAAATTAGAAAAATGTTATCTTTTATTTCGTCGGCTTATTGCAAGAAGTAATAACTGATAATAACAAAAACTTTCAGGAGATCAGTTAATAACTTTGTCTTATATTGAACGGCCGTAGCATCATAAGTATTGTATCGAATAAAAAAAATAAAAATGCCATATTTACAACGCTTTGGCCGTTCAATATAAGAAAAAGTTATTAACTAATCTCCTGAAATTTTTGTTTGTGACTTCTTGCAATAAGCCGACGATTTTCAACCTTGTTCATGCGTGTGTGGTTCCCCTAATAGATTTTTTTTATAATATCAAGTGACGGGACGAACAAGTCGTGCGCCTGATGGTAAGCTACATGCCTGTCCTAAACAGTTAACAGTGCCACTCAGAGCTTTAAATTGCAAAGATCCGAGGGGCACTGAGCCGTCACTCTGAGACATAAGTTGACAAGTCCCATGTGCCTGTAATTTCACCACCACTCTTACCCTTCAAAACCGGAACTTGACCGGAACCGCAACCGGGGCTTGGCGACACAAATGGGTAAGGTGGCAGTACTACCCTGGACGAACTCATTCACAAGGAGCTCTACTGCTAATAGTATACATAACAGCGCTTAATGTATTCAGGTAATCTCTCACGCACCAAACCTCCGGAAATCGGCGCTGACTCTGGCCCGCGCGCTGCGCGAGTTCCGCATCGACGGTGTTAAGACCAACATACCCTTCATACTGAATGTACTTGAGCACGAGAAATTCCTCACAGGTAATTTACAGCCACGCTGTTGAGTTGGAAACTAAAAACCAATAGCTTCTTTCTTGCGACACGAATATTGTTAACATAAATTATTCATAACACCTCTACTCTGGGTGCAACGTAGTGTATGTCTCTTGATGAGTTTTTGGTTCACTACGGACACAGTTCCGGTGCTAACATACTTAGGCCTGTAAATAAATCTAGCATAATCGCCACTATTGGCGCGCAAGATGGCGATCGCAAAAAAGCTACAATATGATGATACCTCTTTATATGACGATTGTGTAGGTACATTGTGGTTTTATCGACGTTATTTTTTTTTATTTACGTCGCTATAACATATCTGTAGACACAAGGAATATAGAAAAAAAAAATTAATACCGTAAGCATATCTGAGCCCAATTATTACTGTGCTCAACATTCAAAAGTAGATACATTAAAATAATTAATTCGTCTATTAAGTTTCTTCAAAGGACAAACAAATGGTAATTATAATCAACAAGAAATATTGAACACTAAATACTTAGTATACCTACTTAACATTAACAAATAGGCCTTAATTGATGATCACATGCGAAAACAGAATTGAAACTCGTTGAAAAATAAAACACAGGCATTCACAAATAATTTGAGAATGATTTTCTTCTTATTGCTAGGAGTTAGTTAGTTAGCGTAAGTATGCATTGTGATGTCACACTTTATGGCGCTACTCAAGATTACTAAGGACCGTTTTGCGAATAGGTGACAAAAACCTGTCTTTGTGAATTTCACGTGAATTGAGGAATCAATAAATAAAATGTATTCAGTAACCATAAAAAATTAGAGGCAAATAAATACGCTCTCGGGAAAATTTCCCAAAGGGGTATTAGCATATCTCACCTGGTTCTGGTCGCGACTGTATGAAAACACGGAGTTACAACATAACCATAGAATAATAAGATAAGTATAATGATAACTCGATACAAACGTAGCAGCGCGGCTTGTATCTGTGCATGCCGGACGCGCACTGCGTACGGATACATAATCATAGGCACACATTTCCCTAATCTCGCGATGCACTAGAGTTGCACAGCGTGAGTCGCACTCGTTATTCATACTTATGTAGAATTGAAGCATTCGCTCGTGGTTTTAAATATTTTTTTGTGTTAAATTCATGATTTATTTTTAAATGTATAAATGCATCGTTTCACAGGGTTATATTTTAAAATGCTAACAACCTCGCCATTTAAAGAACTGCAATACAAAGACTATATTACTTCCATCCTAGACAACAACTTTTGTTCCATGACTATTAACACTCTCAGCGCCATAGAACAAACGATTTTTCTGAAGTAGCGGGCCATGTGAGCAGGCGGGACACGAATTTTTTTCACAGCACTCTACGTCTGATCTTAAGTAACTTTAGTACCAGGCCATGTGGGCGGCTCGCGGGACACGCATTTTTCTTCAAAGCACACCACACCTGATCTTAGGTAACTTTAGTAGCAGGCCATGTGGGCGGCGCGTGGAACACGCATTTTTTTCGCAGTATGCTGCGTCTCATCTGGAGTAACTTTTGTAGCAGGCCATGTGGGCTGCCGGCGGGACACCTCCAAGCTTTACCAGCAGGCCGCTTGGTACACCGTGATCCTACCAAAAACAGACGGCTGTCACCACTAGCGACGAGTTCGATATTTAATTACGATCTGGATCAGTCGTTAGCAGAAGAATCAAACAATTAGCTGTGTTCGCCGAACACACAACTTATATTGTCAGCCTGTTGATGCAATCTTTAACTGGTCAGGGCTAGAAAAATCGAAAATAAATTTTGATTCCTAATTGTGGTACACCGGCGACTCACATGGCCAGCTAGGTAAAATTCGAAAATACATGTGTGCGACCTTTTTTTTTCAAATTATGTTTTGCAACTAAAACAATATCGTGACAACCCTACGCTCTGAGTGACATGTACCTAGACATTGACGCGCCAAATACAGGCGTGAGTTCCACTGGTCTTATTAATCTTATCGTACTATCACATGACTATCTTTAGTTCTTTTTCATACTTCTCAGGTAACTTAGACACAAGCTTCATTGAAGAAAATCCTGAGCTTTTCAATTTCAAATCGCGTCGTAACCGAGATCGTAAGCTCCTCTACTACCTAGCGAACGTCCTCGTAAATGGACCAATCTCGACTCTTGGAACCAATATTGCGCCGGCTGATATTGAACCGTTTATACCGCCCGTGCTTGCTGGTAGTTCAGGTAAATTAATGACTATCATCTCGCTTGTCTCCATGTAGGGTAGACGGATACTATAGACATCAAAATGCATAATTACATTTTAAATGCTGAATTTACCTTTTGTAGGATTACTAGAATTATTTCCATTGAAAATTATTAATAAGCTCTTTAACAGTAAAGGAAATGTCAAGATTGCATATCGGAAAAGGTTCGACCCTTGTGTGATATACTCGCATGGTATGGTCGCATGGTGCCCAATAGTGGGATGAAATAATAATACAACATAAATACTCTTTATTGCACACAAGGAAATATATAGATATATACCCAAAGACTGTTCACTTCGCGGATATATTTATTTCAATATCAGTGTTATTTTTCACTGTTACAGCATGGTAAACCTTTGCCTAAATCCGCTCCGTGCCCAGTAGCGGGATGAAATAATAATACAACACAAATACTGTTTATTGTACACAAGGAAATACATATACATATACCAACAGATTATTCACGTCACGAATATATTTATTGCGATATCTGTATTATTTTCCACAGAAGTGCCTAAAGGATTTAGACAGATATTAAAGAGTGGCGGCCCTGAAGCGTTTGCTAAAAGCGTTAGAAACCATGAACATCTTCTACTAATGGACACGACATTCAGAGACGCTCATCAGTCTTTGCTTGCAACCAGAGTAAGGACTCGCGACCTGCTGGCCGTAGCGCCTTATGTCGCTCATAATTTCAATGGCTTGTATTCCGTTGAAAATTGGGGAGGAGCGACCTTTGATGTTGCTCTTAGGTAAGTAACATTAGAATACAATCTATCTATCTTAGAATACAATAATACAATTACTACAAACTAATACCTACAATGTATTTGACTTACCAAAGATACAAAAAGAAGAAGAGATAATATTATTTGATCCTCAAAGATATTCATGGTATAATATGTACTTTTTCATATAATTTAATTTTTTTTAATGTTTGATATATAATATATACATTGTTCCAGTAATTAATAGATTCCGGTGTTACTTTGCGGAAGTCCATGTTAATAAAAATGGAAGTAAATTAATTTGGTACTCAGCAATCAAATTAAAACAATTCTATTAATTTGAACAATTAATAAATATTTTTATTAATTGTTTCTATCCTAATAATTAAATTATAAATGAACTGCTTTCAAGGTAACACTATCATTATGTTTGAGCATACTAAATTGATCCACTTTTTTTATTATTGAATGAATGAATGAATGAAATATTCTTATTGCACATTAAAATTACAATGACAACACAAAACAGTAACGTAAGTATCACAACCGGTGGTCTTATTGCTAAGTAGCAATTTCTTCCAGGCAACCTTAGGATAGAAATTTAAGAGTTGGAAAGGGGGGTGCAGCCAAAGAATATCTTGTAATGAAAGTATTTTAAATAAATACACGACTCATCAATAAAGTAAACATATAAATAATAATAATAAATATAAATATTATTAGAATATATACATAAATATTAATATATAATAACCGGTAACCTTATTACCCATATATACTTTTGTAGGACAATAAAATAAATTATAAAAAGTAATAATAATAAATAAAATAACAGAGGAACATTATACCACAAAGCAAAAAGGAAATAAAATTAAGGGAAAAGAGGGGAAAAAAGAAACCAAAATTAGTAATTTAGGAAATGTTCCTTAACACGTCGTTTGAAGGAATCAAGAGAAGGGGATCGTCGAATTGATTCAAGGATAGAATTCCATAACCGGATAGCAGATACAGTAAACGAGTTGGAGTAAAAATCGGAGGCATGAGAGGGCTAATATGTTTAGTATGAGTGTATCAGAGGACCGAAGAGGACGGCAGAACGTAGAGGAGTGAAAAGTAAAACGTTCTTTAAGGTAACGAGGCGCTTTTTGGTCTATTTTTTTTTTAATAATAATAACTATTATATTATAGATTGATGACATTTGTAACCAGTTTGTCTTTTGATATTGATCTCCTAATAAATCTTGGTTGCTTGGTTGCGCCCTCCATTACTGAAGTTAGGTTACCTGCTGAGGTTAGGTTAGCTTATGAAAAAGCAGCATGAGCGAGCAGGCAGCGGCCGGCGCGTGCCTGCAGCCAATTACCTTGCGTTTCCGACCAAATTTTCAGGTCAGATTTCAGGTCCTATTATATTATAATTAATATACTATTAGTATACAAACGTAATTAACATTTACCTAGATTTAAAAATAAGTATCTATTTTTATTTTTAAAGATCATTTGTCTTAGTTTGAGGCTCAACATAAAACTATTAAAGTTATTTATACAAATCTAAAAAAATTTGCTTAGTTCAGAAGCGATTCAAATATCCATTGATTTAATTTATTTTATGTCTCATAGAAGTAGAATCAATCGTTAAAAAAGATGACCGTTTAGATTTTTTTGCCTGCTGCTTTTGCAAATTTAAATACATGCCAAAGAATATAAAAATGGCTGTGCAAGATGATAGAGAACTTGTAATATACCTACTTAGTAAGGCTACGCAGTAATTATATATAAATAGTAAACATCATCGCGTCATCTTTTCTGTGTGCAAGGTTTAGGGATAATGTCAACTACCAAGAACGTTATCTGTATGCAGATTCTTAAATGAATGTCCGTGGGAGCGTCTAGCAGAGATGCGGCAGTTGATACCTAATATCCCGTTCCAAATGTTGTTGCGAGGTGCCAGTGCCGTTGGTTATACCAACTATCCTGATAATGCGATTTACAAGTTCTGTGAATTAGCCGTACGTATTTGTTGAACTGGTACTTACCTACTTATTAGTATTCAATCACAGATTATGTATTTACTTCCTTCTTTAAATTAACGAAAAAGAGGATCTTGGCCTCCGACACGTCAAAATGCCGTTTGGCAATCTTGGTGCTTCGTGGGATTCATCTATTTACAAAGCCTCTTCACCAACTTCGTCACTAAAGCGATATCTCTGAGACGATCCACTGGTTGTTTTCTGCGTTGGTCTTGATCGAGCTCACAAAGTCTTACGGTCTTGGTTTCGCTGATTATAGTGCGCTCATTCTATTTATAAGCTCCTTGTCCTCTAATTTCCATCTTCATCTTCTGATTCTCTCAGCGTAGAGAAGCGGTTATCAGGTGGTTCTCAGGGAACGGTACAGCAATGCTATACTTTCCGGCTAACCCTGATGGACTCGCTGACTATTAACGACGAGTGATAATCCTCCAATAGTGTATGCTAGATACAGTTTAAACCATCCATTTCCAGGTGAAAACAGGGATGGATGTATTTCGCGTGTTTGACGCACTCAATTATCTACCCAATTTAACCGTTGGCATGGACGCAGTGGGCAAAGCGGGCGGAGTCATCGAAGCCGCAGTCGCTTACACTGGTGATGTGTCAGATCCTAACAAGGATAAATACAACATTAAATATTACTTGAACCTGGTCGAGGAACTAGTTAAACGTGGTACTCATGTATTGGCTATTAAAGATATGGCTGGATTGTTAAAGCCACAAGCAGCGAAGTAAGTAATATATGAGTGTCTATATTTTTTGGTATAACACTTACCTATTATTACCTGATACCTTTAATTCTGCAGTATTTGCTCGCTTCCACCATAGAAAAGGCTCTGAGGCGTCAGGTAGATTTTGTAGATTGCTTGGATGGCGGTATAGGAATAGGAACTACGAAATGCGTTGCATTGTACGGAGGTTGTTAACGATAGGTGAACTTTATTTAAATGCAGGTTGCTAATCGGTGCGATCCGCGATAAGCATCCTGAAGTGCCGATCCACGTGCACACTCATGACACAGCAGGTGCGGGAGTGGCAGCTATGCTGGCCTGCGCCGAAGCAGGTGCCGACGTAGTCGATGTCGCAATTGACTCCATGTCTGGTATCACCAGCCAGCCTAGTATGGGAGCCGTCGTTGCTTCGTTGCAGGGAACGCAGTTTGACACCAGTTAGTCCGAATATGTATAACATATGTATGTAAGTTGCTAACTAAGTAAGAGTGTCTATTAATAATTATTAATTTTCCTAGAGATCCCATTAACAAAAGTAACACAATACTCCGCGTATTGGGAACAAGCGCGCACGTTGTACGCTCCCTTCGAATGCACTGTTACGATGAAATCCGGCAATGCCGACGTGTATATGAACGAAATACCTGGAGGACAGTATACTAACCTGCAGTTCCAAGCGTTCTCCCTAGGACTTGGAAACCAATTCGAAGAAGTGAAGAAGGCATACAGGTAATATACCGACTTTTCAATTCTTGTATACAACATAACATGTATCGTAGGTAACAGTATTAAAGTAGGTACCTCATATGTAGGTTCTTGTGGTATGGCGGGAAACGTTGCTTGCACTGTTCAGAATCCTTTTGGATCCGCCCTCTGCGTAAAAAATTAAGACAAACAATTGACCCCTGTCACTTAAGACTGCCTCCGTAGTCCGCACACGTCACTATTGCGTTCAATATCATATCAATCTATGCACGTCACATAATACGCTGTACATTGAAAAAAAACAATTTTTTTGAAATGTATTTTACAACGAAAGTATTTGAAATACAAATTACAAAATACATTACGGTCAGGTATTTAAAATACCAATTACAAAATACATTTTTAGGAAGTAATTGAAATACAAATACAAAATACGTATTTGTATTTAAATACGTATTTCAATTACAAGTAATTCAAATACTGCCCAGCCCTGCCTACAGTTTATATAAACGACAATATATAGTTACAACAGAAAACGGAAACAGCAGTGACAAATGGAAGAAAAAGGCGCCAAAACAAATACATTTAAATTTAGAATTTCAATATAAAACTGAACCGTTAAAAAGACTATAAAAAGTATAATGTATAAAAAAGATTTGTAGCACTGTTACGATTCGTTACAATGACCCTGCGATGTTATTGGTATTTTACAAATAACCTGTATTGTAAAAAAAGATCTATTCTAATATCTGTACAATTTCAGAGAAGCAAATCTGGTACTCGGTGACATAATCAAGGTGACGCCCACTTCGAAGGTAGTGGGCGATCTAGCCCAATTTATGGTACAGAATAAATTGACGGCTAAGGATGTAGAAGCTAAGGCTGGGGAACTTTCATTCCCACAATCCGTTATCGAATACCTGCAAGGCCAAATTGGTATTCCACATGGTGGGTTCCCTGAACCTTTCAGGTAATAATTGCTTTATTAATCCTACTCAGAATTTCGTAGGCAATTTTGCCTACTTGTCAACCTCTGGAGCTTAATAATTTTTGGCAGTCACTTTTATGTTCCAAGTGACGTTATGTTTATGTGACAAGGGACTAACAAGTCGTGCGCCTATATAAAGGTAAGCGACATGCCTGTCCATAACAATAGCATAACCGCTCAAAGCTTAATATCTGAGATATACCCATTGCGCCCATCACCCTGAGACATAAGTTGACAAGTCTCATGTGCCTGTAATTTCAGCTCCCTTCAAAACCGAAACGCAGTAATGCTTACATTACTGCTTGACAGCAGAAATAGGTAAGGTGGCAGTATTTCCCTGGATGAACTATTTCACAAGGAGCTGCTGCTACTATAGGATAAAGAAATATGTACCTATCGAGGCACTACACAGCTACTCAGCGTTTTAAACGTCAGCAAGTGTCGATCACAACTACTTACCTATAGATAGTGTAACCTTTGTAGCGGAATGATCGTGCTCTTAATTTTCCTTAGTAAAATGCAATAATTGAAAAAACACCATTAACGGGAGACGAATAACACGGGCCTTAATACACTGGCGAAATGCGAGCTAGTTCAAAGCGAGCCGAAAGCGAAGCGGGCTCACCGCGAGTTCACAGCGAATACGACACAGCTACGCAGAGAGCTCGCTGCGAATGGCGCCTTGGACGCCATGTTATTATACCATTCTCTTGCAACTGCTATAAGCACTGTAATATGTATTATTATTATTTTGTGTTGTTATTATAATTTAATTTTTTTAATGATTACCTGTAAATAAAGAAGGAAAGGAGTGTTGGGAGTGAGATTATTATACGTTGTGTATTTAATTTTAAAAACGTATCTAGGAGTTATGTTGATAATGGATCCTCCCAAATTCGTTGTTGTATATCTGCTTTCAATTTTGTTTCCTGCATCTTCGAAGTAATAAAGCTAACAGTACCTAATGATGGAATCTGTTTTGTACTGACTGTACAAAACGCTGACCACACGCCGCCGCAAGCTCGCCGCGCACAGATAGCGAAAACGTAGCGCGCACGCGATGAGATCGCTGTGAATTCGCGGTGAACCCGCGGCGTTCTTGCCTCGCTTTGCACTCGCTAGCAAATCGCCAGTGTGATAAGGCCTTCGGATTAAACGAAGTCATTGCTGTTAAAGATGTTTTTAGAGATATAGTATATAAGTCATAAAAAAAATAGCTTTTTATAAAATCCTATTTTTACAGATCAAAGGTGCTAAAGGACCAAAAGAAATCAGAAGGCCGTGTTGGCGAGCACCTAAAACCCCTGGACTTCGATAAATTGAAGAAAGACCTTCAATCGAAATTTCCCAATGTAAAAATAGACCACAATATGGGTGCTTACATCAACGAATTCTTGATTTCTTTGAGTTGTTTAAAACTTGTTGAGCTTTCGAAAGTAATTTTCAATTCAATTTTTTTAAAGCATTTAACCGTTACGCGGATTTTGCTCCACGAGCGCATGTTTAGTGCAGGGGCTATCCTAACATACATATTTATTTTGCATCCGATTCATGACAGTAGACGATAGAAACATTTATGAAAACCATAATTATTTTTTTATCTTTATAAATTATCGTGTAAGTTCGTGAAAAAAAGTCGATGTAAGCAGCCACGTTATGGCCTACCGATCAAAAAAAATCATTATGTAGGTACTAATAGCCATTACGTTGTTACATGAAATTTTGCATAACTATTTACTAAGAGCTATTAATTTATATTATAATAAATATTTTCGTATTCAATGGTAAGTCTGTGTCAGGTGACGGACTACGATGTAATGTCGGCGGCAATGTACCCCAAAGTCACGGAAGACTACTTGAAGAATCGCGATAAATATGGACCGGTCAAGTACTTGGATACAAAGACCTTCTTTATCGGTCCCGCGGTGAAGTACTTTTTGTAACAAGATCTTTATCGATTTTCTGGAGCTCTTTCTTTCATAACTTTCAAAGTGAAATTAATCAACTAACATTTACAGCTGGGAAAACTTATGGAAGTGCCGATAGAACGCGGAAAAACAATAGACGTGAAGGCGCTATCGGTGTCCGACGAAATATCGGTCACGGGTGAGCGCGAGGTCTTCTTCGAGATCAATGGACAATTACGGTCTGTGATGATAAGAGATGAGACTGCTAGTAAGGTAAACTCACGTTTTTTACCATGACAATGTGTGCTTTTTCTTCGTCATCTTCGTGCCTAGTTGTAACACTCTAATACACATATAAATACAGCGCCCAAAGCTAACAGCACCACTAGGTACACAATCTCGGAATTATTTGTTGACTATCGTAAATTATTTCATTTTATAACGTTCAGCAGTTCATTGATGTGACTTTTGACAGCTTGATGTGTGGCTGATTGTACCTGTTACAAATTCTTTGGTAGTATTTTATATTTATGGTTTTTGTTTTTATTGCTCTGAAGACGTTGTATTGGGTTTTCTCTGTCACTGTTGTTATAATGGTAAATTATTATAAATTAATATTAAGGTAATAGGTCTTATTATTTAATTCATACAGTTCGCACTTCACAGTAGAGTTGGGTAACACCGAGCTCCTAAGCAAGGCCTATAATTAAGCTTGCTTGGTTTATAAAAACAAAATGTATACTCATAAGTAGGTAATTTATTTAGCTACTCGTATAGCATAGCATATTCTTTATAAACAAATAAAAAAGGCAGTTGTTGCAAAATTACCAAAAAATGGTAATCCATCTGGTCTGATAATATCGTGCTCAGGTTTAATAAAACCGTGCCCTAATAAATTTATATGATGTAAATGCAATAACTAATTTTTAAGTTAGCATATAGTCGTGTATATTAAAAAGACTCTAGTATAAATTATCTTTTACAGCCAAATAATCGAGTAACAAAAGTGTTAACAACAAATAAAGTTAAACAAATATATAGGAATGAAACTATTTTTCCGGATTTAAATCGCGTATATTTGTTTTTCAAACAAACCGACGTTTCGGGCCCTTTACAGGTTCCATGGTCACGGTTGACTGAGGTGGTACAGTCTTCAACCAGTTATGTCTAATATCTGCAGTCTGCGAGCATGTCATGGATAAACCTACACATTCAATGAAGTTTGACAAACCCCAGGTCCTTGCAAAAGAAGTCCGTTATCTGCCCAGGATGCTGCGAGAGGCCATTGAAATTAAAAAACATCCTAATTTCAACAGGGAAGATGGTTTCTCCGTACCACCAGTTTGGGATCCAGTATTCCCTCTAATGAAAAATCCCAAACAGACATAAGACTGCAGTACTAATTAATATGTTTTAATTTATTCTAATTTCTATTAATAATTAATAATAAATTAAACTTAATAAAAAAAAATTCATTCAATAAAATAATTTGTAAAACTTAATGTAGCGTAAATTGGAATGTTTTCTTTGTAAAATTAAAAATAAGGTATTTAATTAATAACTATTGTAACTATAGTGAAAAAATAGGGTGGTTTGCATCAATATTAGACATAACTGGTTGAAGACTGTACCACCTCAGTCAACCGTGACCATGAGACCTGTAAAGGGCCCGAAACGTCGGTTTGTTTGAAAAACAAATATACGCGATTTAAATCCGGAAAAATAGTTTCATTCCTATGTATAACAATCGCAAAAACCTAAGAACTCGATAAATATATAGGAAATAACATTTTGTCTTCCTTGTACTTATTTTCGTAAGACACTGGCGGACTTTGTAGCTCTATGAATGACAGTGAAGATATTTACGTCTTCAGCATTGACTTACCTTCAGTCTTAAAAATACTTCACTACTGTCAATACATTCTTTAGATATTTGGTAGCTTACTTGAGATTTTTGTTTATCTTTATTATTTCGACATTTTTGTATGTACGCGTTTTCTACAAACTGTTTGCGTCTGTAACGCAAACAGTTTGTAGAAAACTTCGAAACTTTTCTCTTAGAAGGTTAATTTTTAGCTTCGGTTCTTCTTTTCTACTCCCTCTTCCATTGTTGTTTGCTGCGAGTGCTTGTATTGAAACCTGAGCAAGCGAAGGAAGCCAAGATTAAACCACGAGCGAAGCGAGTGATCCAAACATAGATTCCCGAGCGTAGCGAGGGTTTCAAGACATGTGACGCAAAACAACTTTACAGCCGAGCGAAACACACAACTTTTCACCTCACGAAAGATAGATGAAAGAATAACAGTTGAACTCTAAAACCTTTTTTAATGAAAAGTTTGTCTTCGGATGCGTTCTGAATTTACACCTTATCAATTTTTATTCTTGCTTGTACTTTTATTTTGTGTGATTAAGTGATCATTGAAATTATTTTAGTTCTTCGACGAATTAAAATAATTTAATAAACATAATTAGTTATCATTGTCAATTTAATGTCAACACTAATAAGAATAAAAAATGCCAACGGATTATTGTTACATAAATAAGTAATGTACGACAAATCGCTTAATTGAACGTGCCATTATCCTTTTTTTTTTCATCGAAGGAAAAAAGTTAGGTGCACCACAGTCCATCGTCAAGTTCGAATTCCAAAAACCTTTTCCACGCTAGCGTGCAAAAATCGCTTTTGCGCGCAGATTTCTAATGAGAAAGAAAGCCTTTCCAAGCTAATGAGGTGAAAATTAATTTTAGCAATGCTTTATTGTTTACAGTCACTCAAGATTCATCCTAAAGCAGTAAAGGAGAATCCGAATCACGTAGGGGCACCCATGCCAGGGACAGTAATTGGTAAGTCGTCCACGTTTCCAACAAAATAAAGCAAGTAGGTATTTAGTAGATAATTGATACATACAGAGATTTGATACAATCAATCCTTTTTTCTTCTAGCTGTCAAAGTGAAAGTTGGCGATAAAATAGAGAAGGGTACACCAATTGTAGTGCTATCGGCGATGAAGATGGAAGTGGCTGTACAAGCTCCCAAAGGAGGCACCGTCGCAAGTATTGCCGTCACTGTTGGACAGAAACTCGATGGTGATGACCTTATTTGCACCATTGAGTAATAATATAATAAATACAAGTGTTTTTTTTTACGAAAGGAATCTTGGTGTTGTCTGTAAAAAAACAGTAACCTATCGAGATCCCTACTGGTATTAGTTATTTGTCACCAATAGCAGTAGGAAATTCCTGTATTGAAATCAAGAACTTCAATACAGGAATTTTAAAGTGTTTAAAAATCTTTTAAAGAGCAATGTCAGTTTCACAGTATTGTTACAGTGCACTACATAATATCGTTTTGTGACGGTTGTGATAATTACTTGCGCGGGTTGTAGGCGCAACAATTTTATGCTTTATTCGTATGTGTCCACCCTGCGTTACGAGAACATAATGTATAACAATGTTAAACTTCTTTTTCTGTGATGAACAAATGATTAAAAAATTGCAAAAAATTGGAAAATTTATATACAAAATTTGCTATCTTGCTATGTACAAAACAACTGTAAATGTATTATAATTATGTTGTACGTAAGTAAATTTATAAAATAAAGAATGTTATTCCTTCACTATTTCAATTTTGAAAAATTAATTATAGCGAAACCTACAAAGGTGCGATATTTTTTCACAATGGTGACATTATTTTTATGATTTCTTTTATGGCTGGTTAAAGTTTATATAAACGAGAAACGTTACTAAAATCGCTTAATCACTGGCTTCCAAAATGCTATCCATCAAAAATGTTTGAAAAATGTTTAATAACGCGCCATCGGGTAGAGATTTCAAAAAAACTATTTCTCGAATTCTTAGGTTTTCGCGATTGTTACACATAGGAAATGAAACTATTTTTCC